ATTTCACTTGTAGTCTCTCTTCCTCTCTTTTTAAAAAAACGTTACCTTCATACTAGAATTTTCTTCTGTATCGCAAGGACAGTTTACATAGGTCAAATAGAACCAGAACAATTACTTGTGGGCCATACAAATACTTGTTCCGTCCGAGTTCGAACCTGCGGGGCCTTAGCGCTGTAACTCATTACTAAGGCATTGCGCTACGGAGCCGTTACTTGCCTGCTTCACATTTTTTGCTATTTACAAACATGCGACACGCGAAGGCTATTTTTAATCTCTTTCTTTTATCGAACAAGTGTTTCACAATTAACCAGTATATGCAGGTCTTTCATTAGTAGGCAGTCACAAGTACTGGAAGGTCTATTTACACTGAATTTTTTTTTAAAGTAATTGGCATATATGGAAGAAGTAATCAAATAATAAATCTGTAACTATGGCGACACCTATAAATAATAATATCTTACCTTTCGATATCCTTAGGAACAGTAAAGAATGAAAGTTATTTAAGCACCCGTATGCTATGCGGTACCTTTTAGCTTTTTGGGAGGCCATACTTGAATAAATACTCAAAAATAAATATCAAAAGTGCCTACATACTCATAAGAGAAAAATACTTTCTTGTTAACGTTAGGCGCTCGTCAGCTTGAGTTAGCACGTGACAACCTCACGCAATTAGCCCCGCGTAGCGGACCGCGCAGCGTAGGTATATTTTCATGCCTAAGGCTCGGAGCGAGCCAAGCCTGCTATATAGCAGTTTCTCAGGCATTCCGCTTAAAATATTGGATAGGGGGTTAAACAGAATAAATAAAACAGGTTAAAATTATACGTTGGTTCTCTTTATGCAACGCACGCCGCGCCGCCTCGTTTCAAATGTGCAACCGACAAATATTTACGACATTTATTATTGTTTTTTTTTAATGTCTTTTGTTGAATTTAATGATATAATGAATTCTCATCCTTACATATAACTCAATTAAAAATCGTGATGGAAAGCATCATATGGGTGTAAGAATTCAATTTTATTTAAGGCGTCATACAAATTTTTCTCAATATTTTCAAACAAGTTAAATAAATAATAAAAATAATACCGAGTAATATCATGTTGCTGGGTGAACACACCAAACGTGTGAACTGATTTCGTGTACGTGACATTCCTAAACGGGCGTACTGGTACGCAAGCGAAGCCGACCGGTACTACCGCAACGTCGCGGGCAGGGGGGACACCGCTCCCCTTCGTACCGCGCCCCATCGTTGCTCCGTCTTGTCGCCGATTTGACTCACTATTAGTATTTTTTGCACATATGGTGTTGCGATGGGCTCACGCGTATCTCCCATTGTCACCGATATATTCAAGAAGGACTTTGAGGGGAAAGCCCTCCTTACTGCACATGTAACCCCAAGGTTCTACAAAGCGGTACGGAAGATACTTCATAATTTTACCAACAGACAAAATAACTGCATTTTTAGAACTCTAATATTCAATTTATTATGAAGTTACAGGCAAATAATTCTTTAACCTTCCTAGATGTATTAGTCATCCGAAATCCTAACACCATAGGTCACACTGACAAAAGAACTGAAAAAAGACCCATACAAAACGATATTTAAACAAGGATGATGGTTTGATTCACAACCATCATCCTTCACGGTTAACTACTACGGGCAAATGTTTGTTAGGGAGAGCACGAGGAATCTATGACAGAAAACATCTGGCCTCCGAGCTTCAAAACGTCAAGCAGGTTCTGCGCGACAACAAGCTTCGGGTCCCGCGCCCACGTCACAGTGGTCGAGTGTCGCCAGCCACAGCCGACCGTGTGCCTGCTGTACTACATAGGCTGCACTAAAAGTATCGGGAATGGAATATTTCCACTGTTCCTGTCATATTAAAATCTTTTTAATTGAAAACTCCTTGGTTTTAAAAATCGAATACCATTTATTTATTTAAAAAAAAAGATTCTCGGTCTTGTCACAAGGTTTTGTCAAACTTGTTTTTTTTCAAAGTCGTTGAGAAAATGGAATTGACTCGAGAAAATTCAAGAGCGATGATTTATTATGACTTTCGAAGTGGTTTAACACAAAAACAGTGTGTTGACCGGATGATTTCTGAATTTGGTGATGAAGCCCCATCCAAAACCACAATTTATCGCTGGTTTGCTGAATTTCAACGTGGACGTGTCAAGCTCAGTGATGATCCCCGTCAAGGTCGTCCAAAAACTGCAGTCACCCAAGAAAACGTTGTTGCTGTGCGTAAGCTGATTGAGGAAGATCGACATGTGACATATCGCGAAATTCAGGCAACTTTAGATATTGGCATGAGTATACAAATAATCTTGCATGAACAATTAGGTGTAAAAAAGTTGTTTTCCCGATGGATACCGCATTCACTCTTTGAAGAGCAAAAAGCGGCTCGTGTTACTTGGTGCGTCAGAACTCTCGAAAGATTCCACGCAGGATCCTCAAATGCTGTATACAACATCGTATCAGGTGACGAATCCTGGATATACGCGTACGAACCCGAAACAAAAAACCAGTCACGAGTTTGGGTGTTCGAAAATGAGTTAAAGCCAACAAAAATTGTTCTCGTTCACGGAGTGTTGCAAAAAAATGGTGGCCACGTTTGTCTCCAAAACCGCCCATGTTACGACTATTCCTCTTGAGGGACAAAGAACGGTTAATGCAGAATGGTATGCTAGCATTTGTTTGCCACAGGTCGTTTCTGAACTCCGTAAAGAGAACTGCAACCGCCGCATCATCCTCCACACGACAATCCGAGTTCTCACACCGCACACAGAACAAAAGAGCTTTTAGAGCAAGAAAACATAGAATTATTAGACCATCCGCCGTACAGCTAAGCCCTAATGATTTCTATACTTTCCCTAAAATAAAGAATAAATTGCGTTGACAGAGATTTTCACCACCTGAAGAAGCTGTGGACGCCTACAAAACGGCCATTTTGGACATCCCAACTTCCGAATGGAATGGTTGCTTCAATGATTGGTTCCATCGTATGGAAAAATGTGTCAAATTTCGAGGAGAATACTTCGAAAAGCAATAAATACATTTTTAAATAGTAATGTTGTGTCACTTCCTTGATTCCGAAATTTTCAGTGCCGCCCTCGTACCATATGTCAAGTGTTACAGACAAAATTGGCTACATCTTGAAGCGAGCTTCTATTAGAACATTCTACAAGCCGCCAAAGAAGATCAGTCAGTTCTTACCATCTGTCAAGTGTAATATCCCTCCTACAGGATGCAGAAATATAAAAGCTTGATTGTGAATGTGGTCTCTCATATATAGGGTAAACAAAATCTATTAAGACCCGCGTAAAAGCTGACGTGAAACACCAAAGCTCCGGGTAGTCTGTAGTTTGTGATCATATCTTAGACGGCCCCTGCCATTGCATTAGATTTGATAAACCACAAATCCTCGCAAAAGAACATCGATTCTTGTCAAGGATGATACGTGAGGCTACTGAAATAAAAAAAAACATCCTAATTTCAATAGAGACGGAGGCTGAGTACTACGAGCTAATAAAATTAAAACTAAGCCCAAACATACCACTGCAAGAGTTCAAGACACAATAAATTCATTCTGTGTATATCGGACCCAAAGTAATAATTAAAAAGCTGAAGGCACTCCAGGTTAACTCTGACATCAGGACGTCAATCACGTGAACATAGGGAATTAAAAATAAATATAATTAAACGCGATAAAATCCGTAAAAGTAGTTATATTCAATTATTTAACATATTTTAATCTTATATTTTTTACTTGTTTAATAAACGATTTTGATATAAACTTTAAATTCTTAATGAACATTAAGAATTCAAAGTTTAAATTCTTAATAAATATATATAATAATAAATAAATAAACTTTAAATTCTTAATGAACATTAAGAATTTAAAGTTTATATCAATACGCAAACATTTTTGGTCCTTCGAGCCGGATTTGATCCAGCGACCAGCGATTATTTATTCTATGATCATATTAGGTGGCATTTCAAAGGGAGATTCAACACAGCCTATCGCACAACAAACGCAGCTAGGTTTCGACAAACTTTGAATTATTATTGAACATTTGTCCAATAGCTGAACAATATTAATTAAAAAAATTATTATTAACTTACTAATTTAAACATGCAACTCACCATAGAAAACTCCGTCACTCAGTGGAAAACAAATATGAAACATCTGATGAGTTCTTCAACAGCGTTTTTTTTTTGTAAACAGACTTGTCATTTTATTTAAAATGGTTGCAACCTCGTGTTTTGTGTTACTAGTAAATAAATCACTATTGTTTCAATTTCAAAAATCTCAAAAATTTCACAAAAAATGCGTAACTCTGTACGACTTTCCATTAAGTTGCATTTTGTGTACACTAATTAAATTATATTATCATTGTAATTAGGGTAAATCTGATCTCTTCATCATCATCATCGTCATCATCATTACAGTCCTTCACAAGTCCACTTACAGCCATGAGATTAAGAGTGTGATAAAAAATCTAATCAAATATATAAAAATTAATGTTTGTTTGTTCCTATTCGTTCGACGCTGAAACTTTGTTAACTTATTACTTACACTTGCGCGAGGGTTATAAGCATAGTACAATTAACTTACAGACGATGGCGCGCGTACAGTACTTATAAATTTATTTTCGACTACAATGAAAGTATTATCATTCCTAATTAATCAATATAACTCTTCCAAATTTAAACCGATTTTTCTCACAATTATTTCTGCGAAAGTAACGCGCCAGGCCAGGAAATTTCCAAGGTTTTGAACTGTAAATATTGTATCCTTATAAAAGAAAAACAATAAAATAATTAACTTCAAATACGGACATTTCTTAGTGTGACGTATCCCATATATGTAGTCTGAATAGTTATGATAATGACATAGTTACGGTAACAGATATTATTGCCAGTAACGTAGCTTAGTTAATAGGAATTACTATAGAATATTTAAAATTATTTTTATCAATGAACTTATAAGTGCTCACCTCACACTCGCTCGCATTCCTACACGCGGCTCGCCAGTAGGCGTGACTGCAAACGCGTAGAGAGGCCTCATATTGTGCCTTCCAAGGTCCCTCCGCCTCTGTACTCGTTACTTTTTTGTACTTTTTCTCAATATCCGCTAACGATTCAAGCCGAAGTTGGAGGCCTGTGTTCGGTCTGGAATAGATAGACAACATTATAGACAAGCATTTGATTAAATTAGAGGTAAAATTAGAATATGCCAGCTTTTTCTCCAAATTGAACTTCACCTTCAATCGCCCCAATGTGATTACCACTGTCGCTTATGAGATTAGCTAACTCATGCTCATGCTTGAAATTCATGCCATTTTGTGCCGGCTCGCCCCTCGAACAACACTCGACTCCTAGCGAGTTACTAGTTCTTTAACACACAACTATTTTTATTTTGCCTCATTTAAATTTATTATTTCTTGTCATATGTAGATGATAGCAGCATAACCAGCTCGAGAGTGTCAACTCAACTCTTCAGCCTTACCAAACGTTCTATTTATCAGGAAAATTTTCCTAGCCATGTGGGCCAGCTGATAACTGGTACATACCAGTTGGAAAGGCATATTATGTCCAGTATCGGACTTAAAAAGGTTATTGTATGATGTTATTTGATTGTAAGAGCTGTTGCTAATAAGCAATCGGCAAAATGGGGGCACTGCTACGGAGTGGTAAAAATCCTACACAGAAAGGAAGCCTCAACACCTACTGCAGCGATTAAGATACAATAATGGTGTTACCCTATTCCTTAAACCAGTTAAAACTTGGTAAGTTGGTAAACATAAGAATGTGATATGACCAATAATAATATTGAATTTTATTTAATCTGGCTCAAGAGGCCATGTATTTGTCAATAAACAGAAGAAATACAATTATTATTTTTCCGGTATATCGCCATGTAATCACAAAATAATGACGGTTTGATTTATTTTTAAAACAGAAATAAACTTCTAGCATAGAAGTTTATTTTTGTTTATTTTATATTATATAGTTTATTTTATACAATACAGGGAGGTAAGATATTATTGTTAATGTATGTTCTTTCCGTAAACCACAGACTACCTGTATATCTGGAACATGATCTCTTTCTTAGTGAGTTTCTCTTTCCTGGTGTTGGTGTGCGCGGCGACACATAGCACGGCCGTGTACTTGTCGTTGCGCGCTTGCTGCGACAGGTAGAAGCCTTCTTTAGGCCCGGACAGTTCCGACTCCTTTTCCAGCGCTTCAATCCAGTCCATGCCACGCTGAAATGTAATTAATTGTTTAATTTTTAAAACAGAATAGGAAACAAAACGGCAAGGCGCATGATTTCGTGTGTGCGTATGGGAACAATAGTTTTATTCGCATGGAGGTGAAAAATCGCCAACTTCTCAACTCGGACCTAAACAATTTTTGACCCGACCCGGGATTCACAGTCAACGTCAGATGGGTCCTACGTAATCAGCAGACACGCTTGCAACCACTAGACGAAGGCACTTGATAGTTTTATCGTCGATCCATCTGCCAAGCGTAACTATTAAAAATCCAATTTACTGACTGTTTATGCCCAAAAATGGGCATTTTGAGACGGCACCCAATCACCTTCGACTTTGTCGAATCACCCGATGGTGTCGAGGTGAGGTAATGCCGACGGCGGGGGGAAGTGGCCGCGTGCCGCGAGCAGTCGCTCAACGCGCTGGATGAAGCAGTAGCTCTCTGGCAGCGGTGCGGATAATCCGCGTATCTCGGTTATCGCTGTAGAAGTTTCGCGCGATCGGTGTGTGGTCTAGATTGTTAGATTTAGTGCGTGTTACTTCGCTACGTAATTGGGGTTTTGTGAAAACCGCCTCGGCTTAGGTTGTCTAGGGTTTAAGTTCTTGACAAGAGGCTTGTATTGTGTTTGACTGATTAAAGTAACTTCTTTGAAAGTAATTGTGCAAATTATATAGGGATTGCGTGTAGAAGTGCATTTTGCAATATTTAACTTGTTCGGGTGACGTGGAATTTCGCACGCGCGCGCCGAATAGATATACGGTCTAGAATTCGAACCGCGTATTCCTTGTTCGAGGGCGTCTCCCGGTTGATTGTTTGGTCAGACGTTCATCATTGTTTAATTATACCGTCGCGTTAAGAGTCTTTTGTGTGTTGACTCTGTAGCCAGTTTGCGTGTCAGCTAGGTTAATTTTGAATTCTTATTGCGGCGTGGTGTTTAGTATCGTACGAAGGAACTTAGTTGTGTTTAACGCTGAACCGTGTGACTCATGAAGAGATCGCGTTAGTTCCCTATTTGTAATTTGGTGATAAATGAATCCAGGACATTGAATGTTGAAATTTGAACTACTGTCCGTTACTGTGTCGGGTATCACATGTTACATTCTACGATGAACGTTGAATTGGTCGAGTTTAAGTTAGTTAAATGTACAATAAAGTTAATAGACTGAAATAGTGACCATGAAGAAAGAAACAGTCCATGGTGGACGCCTGCTGGAGTGATGCAGCATTGTGGGGCAGCATGAAAACCGTCGCGCTGCCAGGTCACCTCAGCTGGGCCAGGTCACCCTCATATACACACCACTAAACACCACTTTACATGCATATACTCTACCTACGGCCTGACCGAGCCTTGGGGCGGTCTTAGAATCGGATGCAGGTACGTACCATTTATCTTCCTGGCCTTCTCCTTATTTTGTAGTATGATGGGTCATATTTCCATAAGGCCATTTGGGCCCGTACCCACGGCTGCCCGTCGAAAAGGCTACTATGGGCCCTAGCCAAGGCGACCTTTGCAGGGGCAGCTGTGGGCCGATATAATACGGGATGTGTAACAGTGTGTAACTAAATAGGCAAGGGAGTAGTGGGAAGTGCGTGACTGAATGGACAAATGAGTGAGAGATGCGTGGCCGAATAAATAAGTGTGAGAAGTGTTTGACTGAACGGGCAAATAAGGATGTGTGGTTGGAAGGGCAAGAGAGTAATAAGTGTGTAGCTGAATGGGTAAGCGAGTGAGAAGTGTGTGACTGAATGGACAAGTGAGTGAGAAGCACGTAACTGAATAGAGAAGTGAGTGGAAAGTGCGTAACTGAATGTGCAAGTGAGTGGGAAATATGGAAGTGAGTGTGAAGTGTGGGAAGTGAATGAAGTGAATGCGGCACCTCGGTCTGCACGGTGTGCAGCTCGACGGGCGCACGGCCAGTGGCGTGGCGGCGCAGGAAGTGAGTGAGTGAGTGAGTGCGGCACCTCGGTCTGCACGGTGTGCAGCTCGACGGGCGCGCGGCCGGTGGCGTGGCGGCGCAGGAAGCGCACGCAGGAAGTGAGTGGGAAGTGTGTGAAGTGAGTGAGTGAGTGAGTGAGTGGGCGGGCACCTCGGTCTGCACGGTGTGCAGCTCGACGGGCGCGCGGCCAGTGGCATGGCGGCGCAGGAAGCGCACGCAGGAAGTGAGTGGGAAGTGAGTGGGAAGTGTGTGAAGTGAGTGAGTGAGTGGGCGGGCACCTCGGTCTGCACGGTGTGCAGCTCGACGGGCGCGCGGCCAGTGGCATGGCGGCGCAGGAAGTGAGTGTGAAGTGAGTGAGTGAGTGAGTGAGCGCGGCACCTCGGTCTGCACGGTGTGCAGCTCGACGGGCGCGCGGCCGGTGGCGTGGCGGCGCAGGAAGCGCACGCAGGAAGTGAGTGGGAAGTGTGTGAAGTGAGTGAGTGAGTGAGTGGGCGGGCACCTCGGTCTGCACGGTGTGCAGCTCGACGGGCGCGCGGCCAGTGGCATGGCGGCGCAGGAAGCGCACGCAGGAAGTGAGTGGGAAGTGAGTGGGAAGTGAGTGGGAAGTGTGTGAAGTGAGTGAGTGAGTGGGCGGGCACCTCGGTCTGCACGGTGTGCAGCTCGACGGGCGCGCGGCCAGTGGCATGGCGGCGCAGGAAGTGAGTGTGAAGTGAGTGAGTGAGTGAGTGAGTGAGCGCGGCACCTCGGTCTGCACGGTGTGCAGCTCGACGGGCGCGCGGCCAGTGGCATGGCGGCGCAGGAAGTGAGTGTGAAGTGAGTGAGTGAGTGAGTGAGTGAGCGCGGCACCTCGGTCTGCACGGTGTGCAGCTCGACGGGCGCGCGGCCAGTGGCATGGCGGCGCAGGAAGTGAGTGTGAAGTGAGTGAGTGAGTGAGTGAGTGAGTGAGTGAGCGCGGCACCTCGGTCTGCACGGTGTGCAGCTCGACGGGCGCGCGGCCAGTGGCATGGCGGCGCAGGAAGTGAGTGTGAAGTGAGTGAGTGAGTGAGTGAGTGAGCGCGGCACCTCGGTCTGCACGGTGTGCAGCTCGACGGGCGCGCGGCCAGTGGCATGGCGGCGCAGGAAGTGAGTGTGAAGTGAGTGAGTGAGTGAGTGAGTGAGTGAGCGCAGTACCTCGGTCTGCACGGTGTGCAGCTCGACGGGCGCGCGGCCAGTGGCATGGCGGCGCAGGAAGTGAGTGTGAAGTGAGTGAGTGAGTGAGTGAGTGAGTGAGTGAGTGAGCGCGGCACCTCGGTCTGCACGGTGTGCAGCTCGACGGGCGCGCGGCCAGTGGCATGGCGGCGCAGGAAGTGAGTGTGAAGTGAGTGAGTGAGTGAGTGAGTGAGTGAGCGCGGCACCTCGGTCTGCACGGTGTGCAGCTCGACGGGCGCGCGGCCAGTGGCATGGCGGCGCAGGAAGTGAGTGTGAAGTGAGTGAGTGAGTGAGTGAGTGAGCGCGGCACCTCGGTCTGCACGGTGTGCAGCTCGACGGGCGCGCGGCCAGTGGCATGGCGGCGCAGGAAGTGAGTGTGAAGTGAGTGAGTGAGTGAGTGAGTGAGCGCGGCACCTCGGTCTGCACGGTGTGCAGCTCGACGGGCGCGCGGCCAGTGGCATGGCGGCGCAGGAAGTGAGTGTGAAGTGAGTGAGTGAGTGAGTGAGTGAGTGAGTGAGTGAGTGAGCGCGGCACCTCGGTCTGCACGGTGTGCAGCTCGACGGGCGCGCGGCCAGTGGCATGGCGGCGCAGGAAGTGAGTGTGAAGTGAGTGAGTGAGTGAGTGAGTGAGTGAGCGCAGTACCTCGGTCTGCACGGTGTGCAGCTCGACGGGCGCGCGGCCAGTGGCATGGCGGCGCAGGAAGTGAGTGTGAAGTGAGTGAGTGAGTGAGTGAGTGATTGAGCGCAGTACCTCGGTCTGCACGGTGTGCAGCTCGACGGGCGCGCGGCCAGTGGCATGGCGGCGCAGGAAGTGAGTGTGAAGTGAGTGAGTGAGTGAGTGAGTGAGTGAGCGCAGTACCTCGGTCTGCACGGTGTGCAGCTCGACGGGCGCGCGGCCAGTGGCATGGCGGCGCAGGAAGTGAGTGTGAAGTGAGTGAGTGAGTGAGTGAGTGAGTGAGCGCAGTACCTCGGTCTGCACGGTGTGCAGCTCGACGGGCGCGCGGCCAGTGGCATGGCGGCGCAGGAAGTGAGTGTGAAGTGAGTGAGTGAGTGAGTGAGTGAGTGAGCGCAGTACCTCGGTCTGCACGGTGTGCAGCTCGACGGGCGCGCGGCCAGTGGCATGGCGGCGCAGGAAGTGAGTGTGAAGTGAGTGAGTGAGTGAGTGAGCGCGGCACCTCGGTCTGCACGGTGTGCAGCTCGACGGGCGCGCGGCCGGTGGCGTGGCGGCGCAGGAAGCGCACGCAGTGCACGCGCCGCACGCTCTCGCCCGCGCTGCCCAGGTCCAGGATGCCCAGGTCGAAACGCCCGCTGCGTTTTGCTAAAATACAACACAATAAATAAACATTCATTTAACGACAAAATTACACTTGAAAACTCATTCCTTCAAACGTAATCCTATGTTGTTTAAAATCATTATTATCATTACAGCCCTTCACAAATCCACTGCTAAACATAGGCCGCTCATAAGGAATGCCACTAAGCAAGGTCCTGAGCCACCTGCATCCATAACTTCCTGCATGTCTTACCAGATCGTCAGACCATCTAGTGGGGGGCGATTGTTAAAAATGATAGGAGTAAAATTACGGTAAATATACCACAATGAAAGCTATTATGTCTGATTACTATATTTAAGAAACTATCTCCCAAACGACTCGTTTTATTACATAAGGTACGTTGGGGTAATACCGGACGGATTTTCGAATAGTTGGAAGTCTGCCAAAAACTTTAATTTCTCGACATTCGTATACGTCAGATTTATGGAACATGGAGCAAACCATTAATCGTTAAACGTAGTTTAGCTCTGAGAATCTTTTGCTTGTGTAAACTCAACGGTTTCTGCTTTAAAGGTGTGCGAAAACTAGACATACTTTTTTATATGCATAATGAAAAATTGGCCATTAAGGGGTAAGACCGGACTTAAATTTAAAACCACTTCTACTGCTCAGAGAAAAAAGTTTATAAAAGAGATTTGTCCTTTCTTTAACGCTCAAAAACATATTTCAATGTGATCTATAACTCAAAAACATATTTCAATATGATCTATAAATTACTAGAAACATAAATGTTCCAAACGATTTTCTCTTTTTTGTTTCTTCCCATCCGATCTTATCCCTGATATAAAGAAATTGTAATTTTATGTTTCTCAAACTTTGTTATGACATAAGATGGAATTACTCAATAAAAGAGAAAGATCGGATGCATTTGATTTTATATGGGAAAAAAAATAACAGTAAGGACTGGCGAAATGCCCTGGGATAATGCAGGAGTTAAGGAAGATATAAATATTTTAACAAAGCGGCATTTATTATTATAAATTATTTTTTAAATAATTATTATAAATTACATTTTGATTTGTAATAGAGGATAGATATAGATGTCTATGGGCCGCAGCAATCACTTAACATCAAGTTGTCTGTGTGCTCCTTTGTCACCCTTATCCTATAAAAAATGTATTTTAATGTGTACTTAAAAGTAATAAAACCATCGTATTGTTTTATTACTTTTAAATATACAGACTTGCTAACGAGACTGAGTCCCATAGTCACTTGAGTAATCAACGAAAAAATATACACGACCAAAGAAAGTTTAACAACCACTGCCATATTTGTAACAGGCAAAGATCGGATAATATTCATCCGATCTTCACTCACGAGGGGAAACATCGGATCTCGGCCTACAGCGATCTTACCCCTGCATGGACCAGCTTTATTTAGCTATAACTTCATAAAAATTAGTATACACACAAAATAATAACAAAAGAAGCAATATTCTCGCTAAAAATCGTAAATAAAAGTGATAGGGAAAGATCGGATGGACAAAAATAATACAAAAATTACATTGTTTTATAAAATGCCACGCAGTACAGGTCCCACTTGCCGGAGTGACTGGCGCGAACTGAGGGTCGGGGCAGGATGAAATGGCGTCGTGTAGCATATTGTTAGCTTTTCAAAATATAGCATAATTCGCCGGGAATTTGAATCCTACGGTCTTGCCCCATCACCGATCTTACCCCAACGTACCTTATTAGGTACATGTAAAAATAGTTTACATTACAATTTTGTTTTAAAAAAGAGGTTTTGATGTACTTAGCTTAAAAAAACAAAGCGTTTTTAAATATAGAAATCCAGCATTAGAGAGACTACTCCATCACTATCAACGAAAATATTCGGTAAGACTAATTTTTAATATTTTATTTTTATAATTATTTATATATTTATAGGGATTAACATATCAGTGGCCAACTTCTAAAAATTAACACTGTTCATCTGTCCGTGATAATCACCTGACGTAGTACCAGCCTTAAAAAGTAACTTTGCACCATTTAAAAACCCTCCCTCGATCCTGCGTGGACAAGAATGAGCCTGTTTGTGGAGCTTGTCAACACGGCGTCGATCATTTCATTTCTCCAGCATTTGGTACGACTTTCTATTGACGTCAGTCTTGTTTGGTGTTGATACGTATTTTTACAGAAAGATTACATTTTTATAAGCACACACACAAAGTTTCAATATGCGGAAATACGTACTTATTGAGAAAAAAACATTGTAAATCAAATAATTTTGCAATATTTAGTCAATTCCTACTGTGAAACTGACGCCATTTTTATTATTATTGTCAGTAGGGATGTCGATTCTTTCCGAAACAGATCGATTTTTTATATAGATTCGAATTATGAGCTGATGTATCGATTCCCAAAAAATCGATTTCTAAAATATCGATATTTTTTTCATGTTTGCATTTATAATGTAAATATAAATCAATTTTATGAGAAAAAAATCCCCTTCATCATAAAAAAATAAGGGGACTGATTCAGAAGGATTTCTGTATCTATTTTGAGACTGCTACGTCTCCGGCGCTGCGGGAAGAGCAGCCTCTACGCCTTAGCGTAACAAATCGTAGGCATCGGACGAGCCGAAGCTACGGAGGCTGCTCCCCCTACGCTCCTCCGGCTCTATAAAACCACTCTAGGGGTAGGACAGACTCGTACCAGGTGGAGTCGGGGTCAATCAATTCGGTTCTTTGACATAAGTTGAACCTAACCTATTTTATTTGTTATCTGCCCTAATAGGTACTGTTAAATAAAACAAATTTCAATAAGAGATCATTTATCATGGTATCTTTCTTGTTTTTCATAAAATGGGTTTATATTTACATTATAAATAGAAACATTAATAATATAGATATTTTAGAAATCGATTTTTTGTGAACCGATACATCAGCTTACGATTTGAATCGATTTAAAAACCGACCTTTTTCGGAAAGAATCGACATTCCTATTGACGTCGACAATAACATTACAAAATGGCGCCAGTTTTATGGTAGGATTAGACATAAGCATTGCAAGAATAATTGATTTTCAATAATTCTTTTTCTCAAAAATTACGCGTTTTCGCATGTTGAAACTTTGTGTGTGTGCTTATAATAGTGTAACTTTTTTATAAAAATACGTATCAACACCAAACTCCACTGACGTCAATGGAAAGCTAAGCCATTATGACATTTAAGCCATCTATATCCCATGTCTTTTAACTATTTTCTTAAACTCGTCACTCCCCATGGAAAGTCGATTTTTTCTCGAATAGCTGCGAGGAGTTTAATGCAGGTCGGAACAATTTTTTTAGTTAAATAAAATTCTTCAATAATTCTGTGTATAACATCTCGATCAAAATCATCGACGTTTAAATTTGTGTTCTTGTTACACTGTCTTTGTTTTCTTTTTAGAAGGCGAACAAAGAGGCCCTTTTTTGACTTCATTTTGAATTGCAGACAATGTTCTCTTCGAAAGTCCAGTGTAACGGCTTGCGCGATCGTAAGCACTATTTAATGTGAATGTTAAATTGTTGTTCTGCCTTTCTTTAACACACATGTCTAGAACATTTTTTGCCAATTCCCGTGCTTGGCGATGAATAAAAACTCGGTTTTTTTTTGTAACAGAACTTGACGTACACGGATCAGACATCATTAAAAACAAAAATAACACGCGGCTGTAACTTTATATTAACACGATAACACAGTAAGCGTATGATAGTTGTCAAGGACAGCACAGCACTACAGTGGAGGCGTGCGAGACGCGGCGTGCGGACGGCGGGGGGAGATGCTCCCGCTCTTCACCTCAGGCCCCGACGGCATTCAACTCGCGCGCTATCTGTATATAGCTGGATCTGTCGGTATGTCATGTCATATAAACAAATGAGCTATGTTTAAATACGTCCTATGGGTACCAAAAAAGCTTTAGAAACGGAGTCTTACCGCACATCTAAAGAACGGGGCGTGATACTGCCCTTTTAATCGAGCTACGAGTATAACGCAATCCCGCCAAACATTACCAACAAGAAAGAGTAACGAGCGAGCTCACAGCCCATCTGATGTTGAGTGAATGCTGTGACTTGAAGAAAATACAGACGCGTCGCTGTAACATTTTTCCTTAAAACACCAATTTTATTTTCTATTCACATAATTTAATTATGAAACATAATTTTTTACCCTGCTCCATGACCGCTGCCAATGTGTCTGTGAAGTATTTAAAGAGCCTGTTCTGCAGATCGACTGGCATGCCCAATATCCTGTTAAGGAACTTCGACATGTTGTTGTAATCCTGTGGTGTGGAAACAAAGAAAATTATTGTTTTAAATAACACTAATACAAATAAAAACAAGTAGATAAAAAAATCAAAGCAGGGAAAGTTAATATGTTAGAAAAGTGTAATTTTTCTTTCTGAAATATGACATACATTTTATATTAATTAGATTAAAAATGGATAAATCATACTACTACTGGGAATATCCTAAAAGTACAAGAATTGAAAAAGGTTAACAATGTATAAAAAAGTTAAAGAACAGCAATTTGTCATTGTTTTATGTTTTATACACAAGATACCGAAAAACCTTTATTCATCATAACGCAACTTTTCAATGATGATGACGTTATATGCCTAATTCCCATATAAATAAAATCACCTCAGCCCCAACTAGCGACATCTGTTGTGCGTAAGATTATTAGCCCACATCGAGCACGAGTTAGTGTAGAGGCACTGTACCTTGTCAAGCGACAGTACTCCGGGCGAGCTTTCACTATTGACTATGAGTCCGACGCCCACGAGCGCGCTGGCCACGTCCTGGAAGAAGTCCCCGGCGTAGTCGCGCGGCGGCGCCACCAGCGGCGTTTCGTACTTCATGATCGCCTTCATCACCGCCTCCAGCGCACTGCGACCTGTCGTCGAACAACAAAATACATCATCATCATATCGCAGGGCTCAGACTGTTCAACTCGCTGAGGTTGCGCGTCTAGAGTGTGACAAACAACAACAGACGCCTGGTAGCGTCGAGCCCACGTGCAGCTGTCACTCAATCAATGCACTGGTTGTCAATGTTGGAACTGATTGAGGGGGCGCTAGTTGCGTTAAGTACACGAGTAGCTTTCACTCAGCAACGCACTCACTCACTCACCGTACTTATTGTCGATGTTGAACTGGCTGAGGTCGCGCGTCTCGGTAGCGCGCCGGTCGCCGTGCGTGAGCGCACCGAGCGACTCGAGGCGCTTGGCCACCGTGGAAGCAAAGCGCCGCTCTCCCGCTAAATCTGAGATCAGGAAGATGTATTCCGGCGCGTTCACCTGGTTGGATCGATGCGTGCGACCTGTATGTACAAATAGACATTTATATAAATGAATTTTGAGTTCATTTATGAACTTGAATGAATTACAAAAGGCAAATTCCACTTACCAAACTGTTGTATAGCTCTATCCGCTGACCACGGCAATTCCAGTGTTATATGCACCCTCCGCCTTTGATTCCGTGCCCTGGCGATAAATACAAACGACGATGTTAATACGTACAGCCACACTGAAGCTGCATCAAAGAAAACCATAAAATACCAGCATAATGTTGCTGTTTTGTGTAGTGGGTGTAGAGAACCGAAGATACTTTTTACTGGTGACGAAGCATTCCATCAGAGTGCTCAGTTGTGATAATGCCTTTGCATTTTGGTTATTAAACGAGTTTAGGTGTAAAATACCATGGATGCCCAGGACATCTATTTTTCATAAGTTTTGTGTATGTCACATTAATTGAGTTAAATAAATGATTGAATTATTTCAAAACACCAATGGTTCTGTTTTGATATAATCAACCTCTACAAAAATTTACAGAACACAAGACATATTTTTAAACATAGCATTACCTCCTATCACTTTGTAATGAGATACCACTGGATGCTGCTTCAGATATGATGGCCACATCCTTCTCGCCGTCCATGAATCGCTGCTTCTCGGTAAGGTTAAGGGTCTCGAGAGGCACGTCCACTTCTGACCGACTCTCGTATAATATCTGCCCATCTTCCGTTTGCACAACTCGTCCCTTGCGACCCGTCATCTAAGGATAATCGAATACCTAAGTTACATATTACAGGATGCCACATAGTCAAAATGTAGGCAATAAGAGTAAGTGGGGTGGTCGCGAGCAAGTTGTGAGTGTATGAGAGCGAATGGGAGCGAACGTGAGCGGGTGTGGTCAAGTGTTAGCTAAGTAGGAGTAGGTGAGTATCAGAGTATTTTGGGGTGGGTGTGGTTATGTGCTGGCGGTTGTGGGTGGATGTTAACGTATTCGAGCAAATATGGTTAGGTGCTAATAGATTTTTTTTATAGAATAAGGGTGACAAACGAACACAGTCAACTTGATAGTAAGTGGATACTGTGACCAGACCCATTGACATTTACGTCTATCCTCGGTTAAGATTAAAAATGCACATGTGTTGTCACCCCTGAGGACTAACATAGAATGCCTCGTTTCCAGTAAAAAGGGCCTCCGGTTCTCTACACTCACCATACGAAACACAGCAACATTAAGCTGCTATTTTACGCTGATATACTGTGAGAGCATGGTCCTTACAACTATAATATAGCTGCAGCTTGGCCCTACCACGTAAGGCATCAATTGTTATGTTCTAGTTTCTAAGTTAAGGGATCCGAAATAATCACAGACTATGATACATGGATAAGATAGATATTGGGCCAAGGATGACATCTTGCAGGTGTGTGGGTAGGTGTCAACGAGAATGAGAAGGTATGGTCAGGTACTGCTGTCAAGTGTAGTAAAAGTATAAAATTATTTTCTGGCTGGTGTCAACGCATTAGAGCGGTTGTGGTGAGATTTAGTGGGTATTAAGCAGATGTGTGCAAGGGACGCTGGAAGTAGGAGGGTGGCACTGAAAATTTCGGGAATCAAGGAAGTGACACAACATTACTATTTAAAAATGTATTTATTGCTTTTCGAAGTATTCTCCGCGAAATTTGACACATTTTTCCATACGATGGAACCAATCATTGAAGCAACTATTCCATTCGGAAGTTGGGGTCTCCAAAATGGCCGTTTCGTAGGCGTCCACAGCTTCTTCAGGTGATGAAAATCTCTGCCCACGCAATTTATTCTTTATTTTAGAGAAAGTATAGAAATCATTAGGGCTTAGGTCGGGGCTGTACGGCGGATAGTCTAATAATTCTATGTTTTCTTGCTCTAAACTCTTTTGTTCTGTGTGCGGTGTGAGAACTCGCATTGTCGTTATGGAGGATGATGCGGCGGTTGCAGTTCTCTTTACGGAGTTCAGAAACGACCTGTGGCAAACAAATGCTAGCATACCATTCTGCATTAACCGTTCTTTGTCCCTCAAGAGGAATAGTCGTAACATGGGCGGTTTTGGAGACAAACGTGGCCACCATTTTTTTGCAACACTCCGTGAACGAGAACAATTTTTGTTGGCTTTAACTCATTTTCGAACACCCAAACTCGTGACTGGTTTTTTGTTTCGGGTTCGTACGCGTATATCCAGGATTCGTCACCTGATACGATGTTGTATACAGCATTTGAGGATCCTGCGTGGAATCTTTCGAGAGTTCTGACGCACCAAGTAACGCGAGCCGCTTTTTGCTCTTCAAAGAGTGAATGCGGCATCCATCGGGAAAACAACTTTTTTACACCTAATTGTTCATGCAAGATTATTTGTATACTCATGCCAATATCTAAAGTTGCCTGAATTTCGCGATATGTCACATGTCGATCTTCCTCAATCAGCTTACGCACAGCAACAACGTTTTCTTGGGTGACTGCAGTTTTTGGACGACCTTGACGGGGATCATCACTGAGCTTGACACGTCCACGTTGAAATTCAGCAAACCAGCGATAAATTGTGGTTTTGGATGGGGCTTCATCACCAAATTCAGAAATCATCCGGTCAACACACTGTTTTTGTGTTAAACCACTTCGAAAGTCATAATAAATCATCGCTCTTGAATTTTCTCGAGTCAATTCCATTTTCTCAACGACTTTGAAAAAAAACAAGTTTGACAAAACCTTGTTACAAGACCGAGAATCATTTTTTAAATAAATAAATGGTATTCGATTTTTAAAACCAAGGAGTTTTCAATTAAAAAGATTTTAATATGACAGGAACAGTGGAAATATTCCATTCCCGATACTTTTAGTGCAGCCTATGTATGAGCGGATGTAATCAGTTGCTAGCAGCGTAGGTGAATATCAGAGTATTTTTAGGTAGGTGTGGTTATGTTCTGGCGAGTGTGGATGGGTGTTACAATACTAAAGCGTGAGCCTGTGTGAGCATGAGTATGCAGTGGGTGTAGGTGTGTTAACCGATGTAGGTATGACCGTGTGTGAGGGTGAGTGTGCGAGCTGGTGCAGTGGTGAGGTACCTCGGCCACGTTCTCAGTGCCGCCGAGCTCGTCGACAAGCTGATCGAGCGTGTTGGGCGGCAGACGTCTACCGAGCCGCTCGATGGCGGCCAGCAGCTCCTCCTTCATGCTGCACGCTCGCTCGATGGCGGACCGCGGCGGCGGCTGGCTGCGCGACGGACCTGAAACACAAACAAACGTTCACTTCTGCTCTTCGACTTCGGCGGAATGAAGGGAATCAGGACTGCTAAGCTTTCCACTCACCTGATGTCGCTAGTTGGGACTGAGGTGAACTTATTTGAGAGAGAAAGAAGAAATAACATATTTATTAATTGCTGCAACTAACTTTTACAAAAAAGAACAAAACTTGACTAAATATTTGAAAAAAAAAAAAATGGATTGCAGCAACCAAAAGGCCACTGATTCAGCATAATGCTACAGCTCATATTCTGTCGAAGCCACATATTATGTCGCCTCGCAACCATTTCTTATACAATTTCATTATAATTGAGAGATTGCGATTTTAAGTTTATCGATTTCTAAAGCCAACAAAAGAATGTCTCAGTGGTCTGCAATTTAATTTTTTTTTAACTCTCTTTTAATTATTTATTTTTTACTTTTAGGAATATCTGTAGTTACATTTTATCCATTTATAATATAATATGAACCCTAACATTTTCCTATAGTTAAAGTGACGGCATAACTTTGTAATGCGTGCGTCCAACGTAACGACGAATATTGAGTATTACATAATACTTATTGAAAGTCATAATATTTACCACTGGTTCGGAAAATACCTCTGTCCTGGGAAGAAACAGCAAGAAACCCAGCGGGACTTTTTTTTAAACATATTTCACTTAACAATAAAGTTGTTTATAATTTAATTATAATTATATATTATATATAATATATAATTATAATTAAATTAATTATAATATATTAATAATATAAATTATAATTTTTAAATTAATTTTCATAGAACCGGCATTGTGGCGATCACCTTATTTCCAGGGGTTATTTTCATTCATGTATTCCTTGATATTACAATAACCCTTTTTGTACAGATTTTCTTTAATAAAACTTTTAAACTTGTTTATTGACAAAATTTGAACATATTCTGTTTTGATTGATTTCTGATTTTGTTGTAAAAGCGTATACATTTTCCCATAAATGAATTACTTACTTACTAATATTATAATATTGGAAAACGAAAAATCATTAATTTCTGGCGAGTGAACAATATTTTTGATGATAGTTCTTGACTTAAAAACGTGCATAACACATAAATTCGACTTTAAAATTAAACCAGTTAGTATTAAATCATTATCACAAAAATAAGCCTAATAATTTACTACCACCTTACAAGATTACCCCAAGATGCAAAAATGTTAGGGATGGGACAAATCAACATATGTAAATTTATTAAATTAAAATAAATTTATTTTTATTATTCTTTCAGAAAAAATGTTTCCTTTCAAAAAAGTAATGATAATCATGCGTTTGTTTTTTTTTAATATTGATAACACTAAGCACATTGAGCCGCCATTATGTTTGTTTGAGCGTCACTTTTACTGACTGACGTCAGTAAAAGTGACGACGCCAGACGCCTAGTATACGCTTTGCGTTCCCCAGTTTTCGTTTATTTCGATGTTTTGATTAATTGTTATTCCTATTTTGTTATTGCTTTTTTATTTTGTTATTGCCTTTTTGTTGTTACAATGCCAAAAAAAACCAGAAAAATCTGTTTTAAATAGAGAATCTCGCGAGTTTGTGATTCGTTTACGTGAATATTTTGAACCTAAATACCAAAATGGCGGACCGCTGTTGCCAGTGTCACAAGTGTGTGACAGAGTTGCTGAGGCTCTTAGAATTGGAAGAGCTACTGTGACTAGAATCAGCAAAGAAAAATTTGGTGATACATCACAAATAAGTTACCTACTCCAAATAAAAAGAGAAAGAAGCGTTGCCCTGTAACTGACAAAGACGATTTCGACGCCGCAGCAATTCGTAATCACATTTACGCACACTACACACGTAACGAGCTGCCAACATTAACAAAATTAGCAGTTTCTCTGAAAGATGCAAATTTGTTCAGTGGAAGTCTAGCATCTTTATTAACAATATTAAAAAAATTGGATTCCATTATACAAAGAGTAACAAAAGAAAAATTACTATGGGACGTAACGACATTGCTCTTGCGCGCATTAATATTTTACGAAAAGTGATAGATATTGATAATTGGGATAAAGTAGGGTTCCTGGATGAAAAATGGCTGAATGCAAATCACACGGTTTCTAAAACTTTGACTAATAATAAACCCGAATCGTCTACCAAGGTACCTAAGGACAAAGGTTAATAATTTGCCATGCTGGTACCTCGTCTGGATTTGTACCAAATTCTTTACTGGTATTCAAGTCTGTCAAGACGACGGAGTACCAGGAAGAGATAAATTTTGAAAAATTCGAAGAATGGTTTATAAAACTTCTAAATAATTTAGATGAACCCCATATGATACTAATGGACAATGCACCCTATCATTCAGTTGAAAAAATAAGCCTCCGACAGCTAATAACCGGAAGAATGAAATAATTTCGTCGTTACAAACCAATGGAGTACAAGCAGACGGCACTATGTTGAAAAAAGATCTTTTGCGTTTAGTTGGAATATACAAGCCCCAAACGCCAATATATGTTTTTTTAATAGGATAAGGGTGACAAACGAGCACACAGTCCACCTGATGGTAAGTGGTTGCTGCGGCCCATAGACATCTACATCTATCCTCTATTACAAATCAAAATGTAGATGCGTTGTCACCTGTGAGGACTAAGATGGAATGCCTCATTTCCAGTAAAAAGGGCCTCCGGCCACCGGCACTCACCAAACGAAACGCAAATGCAAACCTCTACTTCACGCTGGTTTTCTGTGAGGTCGTGGTACCACCCCAGTTCGAGCCGGCCCATCCGTGCGACAGCAAAAGCTGCCGCATGGCTCTACCACTGTTGATGTTATGGATGAGATGGCGAAAGAAAAGTGACATACCGTTATCCGCCTGCCACCATATCATTGCCAGTATAACGCAATAGAATTGATTTGGGCGCAAGTTTAATATTTAAATGAAGTTGATTAATTAGTGCATCACTAATAAAAAAATATTAACTCATTGTTTTCGTGTTAGGTCATGTAGCAAGACACAACACCACCCCACCGTTCACGGCAAATAAAATGTTAAATTTGCTGAACAATGCATATGAACATGTAACACCAAATTATTGGAAGAAGGTGGTCGATAAAACACGAAGAATTACCACAGAAGATTGGCAATGTGATGTCCGCACTGATTATTTGTGTAATCAGGAATTAATAATTAATCTCAAAGATTGTTCCAGTCACTCTGATTCAGATGATGATGATTGTGACTTCGGATGTACACCCTTTTCTCAATAAATTTATTATTTTATTAGCTAAAAAGGAATCTCAATGTTTAAATACTTGGTTAAAATAAGTATTGGGTGCATATTTTTATTAAGAGCCCAGTCTTTCCGAGCAAAACAGAAACATTCGGGTGACACATTTACACCCCCCCTTGCCCCGCTACTTCATGTGCCGCCACCGCAGTTATCTTTCTGACTGTAGCGGGGAAAGTTGCTCAACTAAGATTTTACAGTATCAATTTATCTAATATACAGGATTATTGATAATTAGCTAACAAATTTTCACATACAGATTTTCTACCTCATATCTAACTATTTATGTTACATGCTTTTATTACAAAATTTATCACACAAAAAAAAATTAAGTTTATATAATTTTTGTTGTTTTGTTGAAAAGGTTTTTAAAAGATAATCATCAAGAACCTGTATAACATATAGTCGTAATATTAATTATTTAAATAAATCTGGCAACTGCTAGGATGAGTCGTGCACTGAGGGTTTCGTAATAAGTCGATGACACTATCAAAAATCTGTCAAGTACGTCAAGTAGTTTTAAATACTAAAATAGATTAAAAGAAAACTCAAAATAATTTCTATATAAGTACAAACAGTCGACTATCACACATATTTATAGTCTTTCATTAAAGTATATGTAACTTTGTATAGCATTTACCTATATGCATAAATTACTATTCTTGTACAGCAGCATCGACAGACGACTTAGACGCGAGATTTATTTTGATTTTTTTTAATTTATTCTCAATGGTTTGAATGATGTATGGAGGGTCTCTAATCGGCACCGAGCGTTCAAGGCGAGAATCAATTAGCTCAGGAAGCAGACAATTCTAATAAAATTTAGACAATGGGTCCCTCTTAACATATTCTATTTTCATTGAATGCTCCTCTCCAGTCCATATGGCAAATAAGCACATATCCATCTCCGTAATGTTTAACTGACCCTGAATTTGTAAATAATAATCGTGGTTTCTGTAAACCGAAAAAGTGTTATTTTTTGCATTGTACTTCCAAAACTTTATTTTCTTCGCTTTAACAGCTTCTTCGGATTGCATATTTTTTGCGGAAAATGGACATTTTATTTCTATTAGTCCCATTTTTCCCTCTTTATTTTTATAAATACCATCGGGACTCGCTCCTAAAAATTGTAGTGTTTTATGTATATATAGACCGCAGCGAGTATTGTAATACTTTCTTGCCGAGCTGTTTGTTCATTAAGCTTTGCCATATTTTATCGATGGAACATTAGATATGATTTGCGGTTTCACAATAGATCTCACTAACGTAGCGCAGCTGATGTTTTCTATCCGTTTACATATCTTGCCAAATATAGACGCGGTTAATTGATTTTTTCTGTTTTCTAACCATTCTTGACTGGAACTTTGATCTATCGTATGTATCTGTAGATCGTCTCTTTGTTGGTCAGAAAGTTCCATTTGCTTAAGAAATTCACTTTTTGACATCTGAAAATCTTCTTCAGTCATATCTGGTCTTTGTGCTTTTTGTCCATAATCTGGATCATCCATATTTCTACGAAATATTTTTCGAAAAGGTCTTTTGTACACTCTTCTTTTCAGTTTTTGTGTCTCATATGAATTCGTATATTTACCAGTGAGTTTGCCAAATATGCGTTTATGGATTGTATATATTGGCATTTTCGTGTTAAAAGAAATTGCTGCAGCCACACACCTTTCTTGGTATGAATTTCTTTGTGTGTAACTAATTCGTTTGCCTCCTACATATTTAGCGATCACCGAATTGAATGTCTCAGCAGGATTGCTATCAACATCAAAAACGAGACTTTTAGCATTTGAAGCTAAGAATGAGACAATTTGACTCATTTGATGAATGATTGGCCTGTTGGTCTAGTGGTTAGTGACCCTGACTGCTACGCCGGAGGTCGTGGGTTCGATTCCCACCCAGGACAAATGTTTGTGTGATGAGCACGATCATTTGTTCTGTGTCTGGGTGTAATTTATCTATAATATTTATGTATTTAGAAATATATAAGTATGTTTATCAGTTGTCTAGTACCCATAACACAAGCTCTGCTTAGCTTGGGACTAGATGGCGTTGTTTGATAGTTGTGGAATATTATTATTATTTTTCTCCACAAAACTGTGTTCGCTAAGTCAAGTGCCGTATTACGATCAGTTTTGTCAGTCGCGGGGCATATAGCATCATAGCAGTTAAAGTGACTACCAAAAGAATGGTATAATGCATTTAAAATATCTGATCGAAGTTTGATCATTTTCTGATTGTCAGACACTTCTTCGCGTTTCCGTAGCTTAATAGCCCGCACCGTTTATCTGCGTAATTTCATAATTTTGAAGTCTGTTAAAAGCTTCCTTGATTGAATAGGTATATGTGTATCCTTAGTAAGTGCTCTCAACTTGTTACATAGATTTCTTAGAAGATGGTTTCTACACTCGATCTTCGGAACCTTACAGTTTTTATATGGATTGCTATCTAATATTTTTTTATAAGTGCTTGAATCGCCATCTGATATTAATCTAGCATAAATTAATCCGTGAGTTTCAAGTGAGCATTTAAACCCTTCAACGAGTGATGTTGACTCCATACTGGAAGAACTACCAGAAAAGTTCTTGTAGCATATGTGGTTTGCTGGTTCAGTTTTTTTGTTTTCAGCTTTTGCGCATACAATACAGTATTTATTCTTCACGCCAAGGTACAGTATTTTACCAGTATATGCACCGATTATTGCTGCTGTTCCCGATGATGCTGAATAATTATTACGGAATGATCTTTTTGACCAACATTCGTCAGCTATCACGTCAATCATTGGTGTGCCTTCACTGTCTACATTTAAAATTTCTTTTGCATGTTCAGCCTCCTCGACGCCAGCCTTGATCATTGCTTCCACTGCCGTTATATTGAACCAAATATTTAAACATAAACTTTTTTGCTTGTTTGGGCGTATAAATTTTTTGACATACCAGGTATATCGGTATTACCTGATAATTCATTCAAATTGCTTAACCCACAGCCAATGCTAATAGTACCTGCAACAACACCCTGATTTACATCACAAGTGTTAGATGGATCTTCAGTGCTTATGTCGAACTCTGAATGCAGAGTTCACACTTAAAACGTAATTTTGATACAAAACCTTTTCGTCTCTCACCGATACATTTCAGATTTGTATATCTGCATCCAAAAGATTTAGCATTATGATCAGCAATTTTCCCTAAAATTTCTAAAAAATATCTGATCGATACGATTCTTCGTCCGTTTAGGCAAAAAAGATCGTCAGCATTGGTCATTGCTGTATAATTTTCAATTTGTAGCTGGTGGTTTTTACTAACATTTATAAGCTCCTGACGTTTCCTTACTGAAATTCGGCGAAAGGGAAAAGCCTCCCCAAACTTACGTTTCCGTCTTTCCTTCTTATTCGTCATATCTTGACTGTCAGGCTTTGTTACAGACTTTATATTTGTTAAAGTCGTTTGTAAGTCTACTTTCGTCATGTCCTGATAAACGGTGTTCGTCAATTTCAATGTTACTAACATCTGACAATGGTTGGCGAGAACCAGCAGTGGACCTGGGTACAAATATGCAACTCATTTATAAACAATTCTTAAAAGTACCTAATTATAACGCAACCTAATATTTAACCAAGTGCTCACACATGCACGTTGTTAACTATTGTACTATGAAACACAAAAAAACACTTACCTTTGAATTCTATTTCTGTTCATTGCTTGAACGTTTGATTTCAATTTTCTTTTTCTCGTACAAGTATATTTTTTACGTTTGTGGTCCATATCGAAATTTAAGGTTTATAAAACAAATACAAAATGATTTATAAACCCTAAAAGAATTATATACAAAAAATAATAAAGTAGAGCAACTTGCAATTCGTAACAATGCACAACCAAGGTTAGGGACAGAGAGAGAAAGAGCAATGTTAGAGAACGCTACAGCCGCTCAGCGGCTACTATGGAATATTGCCCGCACTTATTGTTTATAAACTCATTATTTTATAGGTGGATCGAAATAATTATTAATTTTGGAATAAAGTAGTTTAAATGATTATTTTTTAATATTTGCCTAATTTAACAACTGCCCTTGAGAAAAAAAAATTATAGCATAAATAGTTTCAGCTATTGCTATGAACCGAATAATTTATGATGTGAAAACAGCGAAATTTGACCAAATTGAGACCTCTTATTTAAGACAGTGAAAGATATTTAGAAAAAAAGAAATAGCGCATTTTTGAGATGAAGATGTTTAGCTATAAATGCGCTGAATAGATTTCGCATTTTTATTATTGATTGCCTTATAATGGTACACGAACCAAGCTCGAAATTGCGTTGGGTGCGAGAGAGATCTATTTACCTTTAGATTTATCTAACATAGACCACATAAATGAACCAAAAAAAAAATATGTAGCAATTACTTATAATCTGGGTATTTATGTGTTATTAAAATATTTTACTCTGAAACAATAATTTGCTGTAAAAAAAAATTCAAAGTGGCGCTAATGATTCGATGTGAGTCAACTTTAGAAGACTGTAGCCTTAGTACTTTATCTATATATCGATTTAATGTTCCCATCACTAGCACATCAGAATTACAGCTGTCATATATTTAAAGAACTATAACAGATTTACTTCCCCAACTATGGAATCTGCCGAATATTTCACCTCATTCCTAACTGACGCCACCCTGGTGGCAGAAAATCATGAATGCCGTCATTGACGGCTATATAAAGGTTATTAGTAACCTAAGTTAAGTGTTTACCAAACGAAATGCAACCTTTATTGCTTTTAATAAAAAAAAAACACAATTAAAACAATAAAATCTCTTACCAAGATAAAGTCCATTTGTCCCTACGGGTGTTCCGGTCAAACTATGTCCGCCGGCCGTCGTGACGGTTACCGTGCTTGGTACTGTGCTGTTCTTTTTCTCGAACATTGTCTCTATTTTGTCTTGTGTGCTTGATGGCTTCTTCTTGGGAGACGCTGCTTTCTTCTTTTTCATCGGCTTCTTTTTCCGTCCAACCCATGGATCTGAAAAGTTAAATGGGTTCTTCTATTTTTTTTTAAATTCTCAAAACAATATTCCATGATTTTGCGCGATGGCAATCGTAGTTCTTTACGGGCTTAATTAGATTTGTGAGATGAATTTTTATTTATATTTCATTTATTGTAGCGTTGACTACAAGGCCTTCAACCAACAAAATATATCAAGCCGTGTAATACTTTTTGTATTGTTTGTTCTGTAATTGTTGATGTGTCACGTTGCAATGTTTTTGTGAGATTTTGATGGCAGCTTCAGCCAGCAGACAGTCAATAATGACAGTATCCCGAGTACTTAAGGTGCGTGGGGATTAAATAACTTGAGGTTTATATAAAGACTGGAGCATTTGTTTCATCATTCTCACTAATAGTTTACATGTATCGCATCATTTTAAAATCCACTTTAAATCAAAAGAACAGAAAAATCAAAGAAACAGAAGCAGCAATATGTCCGCGGTCAAGTTCTCGCCAAAACTCCTGAAATAACTTATGATTGCAGTAAATGATGTTGATTTTTTGATTTGAATCTATGAAATTTTGGTCAAACCTTGACTATAGTTTTATATATAGTCTTATTGACTGTCTCGTTGGTCTAGTGTGCGCGCTACTGGTGATCATTGGGTCCCGGGTTTGAATCCCGGGTCGGGCCGATATCAGATTGGGTTTTTTGTCGAGAAATTCTTAATAGTAGCCCATAATCAGTAATTTGACAGTGTTTCACCAACGTGTCTCGAAAAGGACGTAAATCTGTCATATACCTCATTCCTTTCCGGTCGGGTCAGATTCTATGAGCTATATCTATCGGACTATGAGCTTATGCTAGCCCACATACTCATGCACCATAAACATATTATCATGCGCAGATGGGTAGTCTCCGTTAAGACCGGCCGCTATCATCGAAATTCAGTTTGGAGGACATTATACTTTTATAGGATTAGGATATTAACAATCGATTATAAAAATAATTGATTACCAACATGACTAGTTACTAGTTAGTATGTAGTGGTAAGAATATTTACTACTCAACGTCCTATAGGTGTTGGAAAAAGTGACAGAAGGAAACTGCAACTGGAGATCGATAGCAGCATTTTCTTGATAGCAACTAAAAATTATAAAAAAACAGCGGTTTCTAACCCGCCTGCTAATTCTGGCAAATAAGGTAAATATCCATTCTATGGAGAAGGCCTTTTTTCAGTAGTAGATTTTTAATAGGATCGAACGGTGACCGATTGTGAACATTAACGATTATAAATCGATTATGAATATAATTTAAATTATGAATATAATCGATTATTGTTATAATCTGTTAATAATCGATTATGAAAATAATCGTTTATTGATTTTAAATATCGATAATAAAAATAATCGATTGTGAACATTAGTAGTAGCGCTGGGTGGTTAGGTGTGGGGTTACCGTCGTCGCTGTCGCTGCCGGCGTGGAAGGGGTTGAAGTCGCTGAGGTCGGAGTCGGAGGCGCGGCGGCGCTCGTCGTCCGAGTCGAGGCGCGCGTCGGCGGCGCGCTCGTCGTCCGCGTCGGGCTCCGGCTCGGCGTCGAACTCGTCCGAGCCGCGCACGAACTCGTCCGACGACGAGCCGCCGCGCGCGCGCTTCGCCGCCGCGTTCGCCTGCTGCCGCGCCGTCACTGCACCGCACAACACACGCACCACTATATCTAATAGCTCGGGGAAAAACTTACTTCGTATTTTGTTTCTATAAAGCTGAAGAACATTCTCTTTGGTTTTAATATCAATACATATAGGGCATTAAGAAAATAAAAACACTTACTATGTTTATGGTGGGATTAGAAGGGCATCGTTTTTTATGAGCTTTTACCGCCGGGCAAAACCATCGATTCGGATCTCTACTGCCAACAACTAATGAGACTCATACAAGAAATTGAGCCTTTCATCATGATAACGACAGAGCATATACATTTTTTTAATCAAAAATCCCAAGATTTCTACAGCCACAGGATTATGTTACTACCTACAATATGGCAACAAGTTATCGAACCAAATGCTACTTATATAATTAAATGTAATTAAACTAAAAAATGTCCTGAATTTGTATATAAAATACGAAGAAACTTTTTTCCCCGATGTAATATCTAAATAACTTGTACTTATTTAGCGTATTGCACGCAGAGGACTGTGAAATTTGGTATAATTAGAATTTATATGGAAAAGGAGTGCAAGAAACTAAACATTAATAAAATATGTATTTACAAATATCTTTTTTTTTATAAGATAGGGTGACAAACAAGCACACAGTCCACCTGATGGTAAGTGGTTGCTGTGACCCATAGACATCTACATTTATCCTCAATGAAAAATCAAAATGCAGATGCGTCGTCACCCGTGAGGACTAAGATGGAATGCCTCTTTTCCAGTAAAATGGGTCTCCGGTCTTCTACACTCACCATACGAAACACAGCAGTGTCAAGCTGCTATTTTACGCCGGTATTCTGTGAGAGCGTGGTCCTTCCCCGGTCGAGCAGACCCATTCGTGCTACAACTATACTACTAATATAGCTGCAGCATGGCTCTACCACATCAATACCAATAATAATGCATCAAATATTACACAGAGTATTTTGGAGATTTTTGAGAACAATCTCTCCTTTTCAATAGCCTGTATCATAATCATACATTTGTTGTATATATATTGTTATGTTGTATATAAGTTATTCTTGTTTTAACGTGCAGTTAAAAGCAAAATACAACTTGCATTATATACAAACGTAAACATTTTATAAACTGCGGTCGAATTTCAACCACAAAAAGACTATGTATTGATTACACCAAGGGAACTAAACACGTAAATACGTACATTTCAAAATATAGTATTTACGAAACCTTTGTATGAATTTTATGATAACTCATGATATTGGTAGTCTAAAATGTATATTGTAAAACTGTTTTTGGAAGAGCAGAGTTTCCTAGGACAAGTAATTTAAATTAATAGAAATCTCCAAACATAGCAAAAGATATATTTTTAGACTTAAAAATGAAATGAAAAATTAAAATTATTTATTTAATTAAACTTACACTTCCTCTTAGACGTGTTTGCTTCGTCGCCGTTGCGTCCGTTATATGTGAAGGCGGGCGTAGGCGCGGATGCGGGCGCGGGCGTCGGCTTGTCGGGCTGCAGGCCCAGCAGCCGGTTGATGCGTGCGCGGTCCGGCGCGGGGAAGTGCTTCTCCACCAATGTCTGGAATACGCCCCTGTCAACAAAATGTTAACCTTTTTTAATAGTGTAAAAGGGCACAGTCCACTGACGGTAAATACATACTATGGTCTAAGGACACATAAATCCACCATTGCTTAAGATATATTATTACCTCGGATGCCTTCGATGGAATGAACCAGTAAAACGTCTCTAGTTCTCTATAGTTACATGAATGAATACAACATAATGCTATTTTTTAATGATATTCTGTAAAAATAAACATTCATCCCCAGTCGAGTCAACCTATTCATTCGGCAGTTAATTAAGTTATTAATACTATGATGCGGCTGTAGATCATGAGGTACTCATTATGAGGGTTTTAGTCCAGGGTTGGGTAAAAAAATTTGTTATTGAGCTTCTCAACAAGAAATTCTCAGTAGAGGCTTGGTCAAGAAAGGTGTTTGACCTCCGTGCCTTGGAAAGTAAGTAAATTCTTTCTTCATACGCCTGATCTCTCTCCGGTCGTGTCGGATTGCCATCCCATGCCGACTATGAGAGTGAGAGAATAGAGTGCATCTGTGTATGCGCACACATTCGTGCACTATAACCCTGTACTGCGCAAATGACTAATCTGTAATGAGACTGGCCGCCGTGACCGAAAGTCCGGAGGAAATTATTATTAATGCACTGTGAGCACGTATGCTGCAGGGGGAGGGGAGAGAAGGGGAGGATTGTGGGCTCACTTGGCGGTGGACACGAAGTCACTGAGCTCGCCGTCGTCACGCTCGAGCTGGTCGAGGGTGCGCGCCTCGCCCGTACTCTGCAGCCCGATCACCACGCACTTGCCGCACTTCACCGCCTCGCGCGCCGTCACTACCGCATGATTCACCTGCGAACCAACGTAATAACGCCTTAAATATTTATCGACCTATGCCATGCTATTATAAGTTGTAAATATCGTAAATGAAATTTTAAACACGCTGTGAGGTTTTATTGCATCCGGCTCGAAAGACCAAAAAATGTAGGATGTTTCCCAAACATTTTATAATAATTAATGCTAAATGATATGGACGGTAAATGGTATTATAATAAATAAAATCGACCGCAATGCACTGATTTATTATTGAATTGTATGATAGAATTTGCAAGCGTATGACAAAAAGACGCAGAAACTTAAGCTAAGTACAAATATAAAATAATGTTTTATATACGCGTACAGATAGCTGGTACATACGGCTTGAAAAAAATCCCAGAGTTACTTGCCGGTTCTTATCTGAAAAGGTCTTGTTTTGGGGCACTGGTGTAGATTTTTACGTTTATAAGAGCTTTAAACAAGCCTTAAATTAATTAATTATGCATTCATGTTTGTTTGTAAGAATATAAACTATCCGATATCATTCCGTAGGTGTTGTAAGAAGCTACAGAGGGAAACAAATCAGAAGACGGGCAGCAGCTACTTCCTAATAAAAGCTAAAAATAAAAATCTGTAATTACCAACCCGCTTGCCAAGCGTGGCAACCATGACAAATAACCCCCTTATGAGGCAATCTATGGGAGGCCTATGTTCAGCAGTGGACTTTAATAGGCTGTACCCGTAACGGTAACGGCGTTTGCAACAAATTTATAAACTTTAACTTAACATACTTTGATTACCTTTAGAACCATAAGGTTTCTTTCTATTTTAGATTAAGCATATCGACTTTAAAAACGGCAATGAAAGCAGGATAGAGAGTATTACGATCATAGTGTGTCTTGTTTCTGTTATGTAACTGCCGGACTCAATGATTACTTAAGCCGTCACTAAGTAAAGATTTAAAAAAGTTGACTCTCACAGTGAGTTAATGATTCATTAGTAGCCCTAAGGAACCGTTAACTTTAAGTAATGGTCTACCCTTACTTAACTTCGTAACGACTGATTTTGACAGGACAATTTGTGAGGTTATGTGTGTGGTTATTTTCAAGGAATTGTTTATTGTGATCAAATTGTGATATTTTGAGAAAATTTCAGATCATGAAGAGTTTGTTGTTTTGTGGACTATGCAAGAAGGTTTAGAGAACCAGGTCCAAGACGTTATTTGCGTGATTATTCGGATCCATTTCCGAAGTATTCTGTTCAAGAATTTTACTCACGATATTGGTTTACCCCCCAAGCAATAAAAAGTACCATAATACCAATGTAGAACCAAATTTACCTAATTTAAGCGTCCCATAGACACCTACATCTATCCTCGATTACGAATCAAGATGCAGATGCGTTGTCATCCGTGAGGACTAAGATGGAAGGCTTCGCTTCTAGTAAAAAGGGTTTCCGGTTCTCTACACTCACCATACAAAACACTGCAGCGAGGAGCCGCTATTTTACGCTGGTATTCTGTGAGAGCGTGGTCCTTCCCCCGTCGAGCAGACACATTCGTGCTACAACTATACAATAAGATAGCTGCAGCATGGCTCTACCACGCACAAAATGATTCTCGTTACGTTGAAATACTATGCTACTGGGAATTTCCAAGTAAGTAAATAAACTGTGGGTTATAGGACACCTTTAATATTAGGTACCTCTTATAAATTGTTGCTGCACAACCCGGTCACAATATCTGCACACCTCATTGTAAAGTGATGTTATAGTAAATTCAAATTCATTTTATTCATTTGCGGTATATGGGTTACAATAGGTCTTAATAATTTAACAAAAATACAGCCATATTAGACCTTCCGGTGTGCAAACTACTTAAATACAAGATTTTTTTTTTTATAATTAAAATGGAAAATTCTGATAATTACATACATACAAACACTCACGCCTGTCACCCAGAGGGGTAGGCAGAGACTACGGACTTCCATTTGGCGCGATCCTGACACACTTCTCTCGCCTCCTTTACATCCATATATTTACGCATACACGCTCGTCATTTAAGGGTACTCCTAATCTGGCCCATTTTCAATTTATCGCCGATTTGGTCGATAAATCTTCGTCTAGGGCGTCCCTTCCCGACTTTGCCGTTCACTTCTGAAACATAAATTTGCTTTGTCACTCTTTCCTCGTTTATTCTTTCTACGTGACCAAACTACCGAAGCATTCCTTTTTTAATCCTAATCACAACGTCATCTTGCAAACCTCACTTTTTTTCTTATCACACTATTTCTTACCCTGTCATTCAGATTCAGCCCGTACTATATACCTCCGCCGCCATACTTCGTAATGACCGCAATTCTACAGCCTTTATCCTACTCTCATGCTTCCTTCTTTCACTACCATACATTAAAGTAGGGACTAACACATCATTATGAATTGCCATACGTGCCTTCTTTGACACATTCTGACTCTTCATAATAGCGTGTAGAGCCCCATTAACTCTATTTCTTGCGTTCACTCGTCGTTCTATATCTACCATCCCTGCTAAATAAACATCCCAAATATACAAACTCATCCACTTACTCAATCAACTCCCCTTCTATTCTTATTTCACATAACGTTTTACTTTCTTCTCTTTCAAAAACCATCACTTTCATCTTACTTGCGTTCACTTTCATACCCCTTTCTTTTAATGACCAGTTCATTAAATTAACCATCATTTGCAACTCGGCCGCCGACGATGTAAATATGACTTGATCATCGGCGTACAAAAGGCATTTGACAGTTAACTCACCCATTCTCAACCCACATTCTTCAACTTTCAAAGTTTGCAAACAACTGTCCATAAATAGGTTAAACAGCCACGGAGAAGCTACACAACCCTGTCTGACACCTTTTTGAATGCCAAACCAGTCCGAGTAGGCCCAGTTGATCCTGACACAAGCACTAGAGTCCCTATAAAGAGACTTTAATGTCTGTATCAGACCAGCGCTCAACCCAAATGAGGTCAGTGTTTGCGATAACACGTTCCTGTCCACTCTGTCATAAGCCTTTTCCAAGTCCATGAACGCACAAAAAACTTTCTGGTTTTTGGCCATAAATTTCTCCGCAATCATGCGCATGGAAAAGACTTGTTCCGTACACCCCATCCCCCTTCTAAATCCAGCTTGCACATCCCAATTTTTTCCATCAGTTAACACCTTAGCATATAGTTTACCCACAACGCTAAGCAAGCTGATACCACAGTAGTTTTTACAGTCCTGCTGCGACCCCTTTCCCTTATATATTGGGACTATAACGGCTTTGCACCAGTCTTCCGGTACCCGCTTCAGTTCCCAACATAAATTAAACAAGGTGTACAGCAGGCCTGCAACCACACCCTCTCCAGCCCTTGCATTTCGAGTGATACTCTATCATATCCGGCTGCCTTACCTGCTTTCATGCTTTTCATTGCTTTCACTATTTCATCTACACTTATCTCCCTACCTCTCTCCACTTCTTCCGGAATTTCTATTTCACTTACTTCAGGCGACTCTTCACTCTTAAACACGTTTCCATCTCTTTAAATTCGAAACTTCATCATTCAGTATGCAGCCATTCTCGTCTCGTATAGCATTCATTCTAGGCTGTTTTGAATTTCCCCTGGCAGTTCTTACGAGCTTCCAGAACATTTTAATATTTGCCTGGAAGTTATCAGATATTCTTCTATCATTCTTATCTATCCTTTCTTGCTTTTTCCTTTCAACAACTTCTTTTACTCTCTTATTTATACGTCTAAAGTCTGCCTTTTTTCTTTCAATCTCATCATACATACCGCCAGAATTACCAGCTTTGGTTGCTAGTAAACCTAGCCATGCCCTCTTCTTTGCTTCAACTTCCATCCGTACCTCATCATCCCACCACAACGTATTACTTTTCCTTTCATTCGTTCTCTTACTTACACCACATACTTCGGTGGCTGTATCCACCAAAACTTTCTTAACATTATTCCATACATTCTTCAAGTCTAAATCATTCATACAAAATTCATTTAACACACTTAGATTTTCGCTCAGTCTGCATTTATACTTCTCTTTCACACCTTCATCTTGTAACCTCTCTATTCTTATACGCAGTAACGCAGTGGTAGACACAGATGTCCGATGCCGGCAACGCTTGAATAGACCATTAATTCGGCATAAGACCAAATAATGATCCGTCCCTACGTTGGACCCCCGGTAAACCCTTGTATCTACCACTGCGCTCCTCATTCTTCCATCCACAATTATGAAATCTATCATGCTTCTATCATCCCCTCTTTCCCATGTATACATGTGAATCCTCTTATGGCGAAAGAAAGTGTTCGCCACAAAAAGATTCTTTTCCACACATATGGTGAGGAGGTCTTCACCATTCTTATTTATTCTTTCATCGCCAAACGCTCCTAATATCCTTTCATAACCAGACCTCTTCACCCCAACCCTTCCATTAAAACCTCCTAACATAATAATATTTTCATTTTCCTTACATTTCGTCAACACCAGCCTTACCCAAATGTCCCAAAACTGCTCTCGGATATAAGTGGGCTTAGACATATCTGGGGCGTACACCCCAAGCACAAACAACTTCTTTAAGCCCACTTTCATTCGTATCTACAGCAGCCTTGGGCTTTCTGAAAGGATGACACCGACTCCCTGGCATGCCCGCTCGGTCTCGTCTACACTAGACCAGTAGTAAGCGGTATACATGCCATGTGCAGTGACATCTCTTCCCTTTCGTTTCGTCTCATTCACACATAACACATCTATTCCTCTATCATTCATCATTTCTCATATTTCATCCATCTTATCATTCATTGCTCCACATACATTCAGCGTAGCCAGACGGGCCTCTGCAATCCACTTTTCGCCCCTCCGGGAGACTGGACGTGACGGGTGGCGAACCTCGTCGCCGGTTTTCCTCCCGGAGATTCTTGGCACCCCTGCCCCATTAAAGGGGCGCCGGGAACTCGGGCCATTTCTTTAAATTGTTGGCTCATGGTGCGACATAAGGGGTGGTAGATTTTACGCCGCTACCACACGGCGAGGAGCCGAGTCTGTCGTTTCGGCTTTGTCGCTCGTTTAGCACCACCTGGGGGACACGTGTAGGGTGGGCCTAGGGTTAGGTGGTCGAAGTCTACGGACGCTTACATTAACATAATATAACCCTATTTGTATATTGGCACTACTAACATATTAATAATTAATAATATAATAAATGTAATAATTAAAACTGTAATGTCAAAATAATAATGTCAAAACGAGTAAAAATTATTATGTCTCAAAATTGATAACATAGATAACGTTGTGTGTTTCATTCAATAAAGAATGATGCCCATTTTTCACCTGACTATGTATAGAAATGAAATAAACCTTAAAATTCAGCTAGTTGAATTGTAAATTAAATACGCTTATCACAATGTTAAAAGAAACGCAGGAGAAAAATATTTTTTAATATTTATTGAAGCTTATTCTAAGTCAAGGGTTAACATATTACCACCATAATTTGAACGCATCTCGACTATCCTTTTTCTAGGACGTTCCATTTTACACACTGCTTAATTACACTCTGTTAGTCAAAAATCTCTGACTTAATTGAACTCTGTTTCTGAGTTTTAAACATTATTTTATGTTTTATTTAATCAGTAAGTATTTCTTTATTACTCTTTCTATAGTATATATTAATTAAAAATAATATAATAATTAAATAAATTAATCGTGTAGTATGTCATTGAGTGCGCTCGAGTTAAACGAATTTTTTTGACATTTGACACTTCTATTGACATCGGCATCGTCATTCGTTATTGCCAAAGAGAATATAATCCTTATTGCGTTTGCGTCTCGTTGTGTATTGTGCTATTTTGTGTGTATTTTCATGGATCATATAGAATAGCGATATGTAGGTATACACAAGATTTTTCTCAGTATAATCTCAGAGGAAGTGGTGATAGAACATTAATAAGAGATAGAAAAATTAAGTATTTAGTAACGGCAATTCCTAACCTAAATAGTAACATTGAAATTTTTGAACTTCGTAGCATTTAAATCGTTAAAATGACTATATGACATTATTTTCTAAACTTACAGAAAGTTTTTCTACTCTAGTTTATAACTATACATAAACTTTTACTATCAGGTTTTTAAATGTATGAAAAGTGGACATGGTTCTTTGATAGTTAAAATTTAAAAATTGTCAAACAAATAATCGTCAATATTATAATACGCTTTTTTGGTTAAAAATATGTTTAGTTGTTTCTTAAAAATGGGAAGGCTCTTAAACTCTCTTATATATTTAGGTAAATGGTTATACAGAAGAGGACCCATGCAGGATACGCTTTTTTAAACAAATTAGGCTTACAATTAGGATGACTCAATTTATCTTTATGATGCTGGACATTTAGTTTTTTGTAAAGACTTAAGTTTTGATGTACAAATAAGACTACCTCATATATATATATAATATATATAGACATGGTATCTATAATATAAAAATGAATCGCTGAATTAGTTGCTAAGCTCAAATCTCGAGAGCAGCTGAACAGATTTCGTTAATTCTTTTTTTATAATATTCCTTGAAGTACGAAGATGGTTCTTACGGAGAGAAAAATTTAAAAAATTGCCTGAAAAAGACTAAAAACAACACTTTTCTATATTCCCATACAGAAGATTCGTAATAATACTTCAAAGTCAATTTGAACTTTAATACCATACCATAAAGTTTAAGTGTTAGTGGAGTGGTTCCGGGAAGGCAAAACAACTGAGTGACGTTAGTATCGTATAAATATTAATGTCAATATTTGTCAATATTTATACGATGGTAACATTACTCAAAAACAAAATTAGGGTTCCGCGCAATAAAATTCATATCCATGAAATCGCAGTAAATAGCACGCGGGAGAAGTCTCGGGGCACAGCTAGTTGTTAATAATTTTAAATTAATGAAATATGGCTTACAACTGTCACTTTGGTTAATTTTATATATGGCTCGTAAGCATCTCTTCTGAGCTTTAAATACTGTTTCTTTGTCCGTACAATTACCCCAGACCATAATACCATATCTAAATGTAGACATAACATAAGCATGATATGATACCATTACGGCGGATGTGTCTACAACTTTTCCAAGCATATATAACGCATAGGAAACACGATTTAATTTCATACACACTGCTCACATGAGACTGCCAGTTCAAATTGCAATCTACATTTATATCCAAAAATTTTATATTGATTTTTTGTCCTAGATAGTTAAGTTGATATTTAAATTATTTATTTTACTACGTTATTGATAGCATGTCATTAGTTTTGTTTTTTCTAAATTTATATTTAGTTTATTTATGTATTTATGTATATTCATGATTTTTTCTATAGCAAAATGTATGTTACTTTCAAACAGATTGTTTTTACTAGTGAAAATAACTGTGCTATCGTCAGCAAATAATACTATTTTGTGATTAATGACGTTAGGAAGGTCGTTGATATAAATAAGAAATAACAATGGTCCTAAAACGCTTCCTTGCGGTACTCCAGTTTGTACGACTCTGTATTCAGAAACATAGGTTATTTCTTTTCTTGATTTTAGACAAATTTTGTAATGTGTGTACTTTGTTTTCTGTGAACTAAATATAATGTTAGTAGATCTAGTGCATTACCTCGAGTACCGTAGGCTTCAAGCTTTTTGAGTAATATTTTATGATCAACATAATCACATGCTTTAGTAAGATCCATGTAAAGTGCACATACAAGGCTAGACATAACGGTATTAAAAAATTGTATACAGCCATATTTAGTTTTATTTTTTGAAATCCTATTTGTTCTTCTCTAAGAATATTGTACGTTTCGGGGTAATTATATAAATAGTTATAATTTATTTTCTCAAATACTTTTGAGATCACAGGTATAAGTGCAATAGGCCTATAGTTAGACATATTCTCCCTATCATTTTTTTTTGAACAGTGGTTTGACAATTGTAGACTTTAGTCTTTCTGCAAGCTGCACAGATAAAGGATATTGTGACTGTTTAGAGGTTTGAAAAGTATCTGTTAGTCAATGGACGGTCAGAAGACGATTGAGAGAAGCGCACCTCATTCCAAGACGGCCTGCCAGAGGCCCAAAATTAACCACAGCTCACTGACAAGCGTGGCTTGAATTTGCTCGCTTCGGCATTCCTGTTCACTTATGAGTGCAGAGTATGTCTACATGGCAGTGATAGGAGAGCTCGGGTCTACAGGCGTCCAGGCAAGCGGTTTCCGCAGTGCCGTTTCACCGAAACAGTGTTCTACTGCGGTAGGTCATGTATGATATAGGCGGACATTTCGCTGAAAGGAAAAACGGAGTTCATTTTCATTCCTGGTGGAGGCCGAGGAAGCGGTCTGACTGTTTCACGATATGTGGAAAATATTCTTTTGGACCATGTCTTGCCTTATAAAGGCTTCATCGGGGAGAGCTTCCCATTAATGCATGACAATGCCCAGTGTCATAAAGCACAAATAACTTGTCAGTTCATGGATAAAGTTGGCATTCGGACCATGCACTGGCCAGCACTAAGTCCTGATGTCAATTTTTTGAGCATCTATGGGACGAGCTCAAACGGAGGGTACGAGCGCCGACGTTTGTAGGTCTGACGCCTACAAACATCTCAGAGCTGAAGATAGCGCTGAAAAAGGAGTGGGAAAGGGAAATAAAGGGAATTGATTAAAAAACACATCAGATCGCTGAGAAACCGTCTTCGAGGTGTTCTCAAAACTGGGGGAGGCAACACCAAGTATTGAGACAATAAATTTTGAGTATTAAACATACATTTTGTTTTATTTTAATTTTCAGTCAATATTTACTTTAATTAACTTAATTTTTGTTATGTTTCCATTCAAACCTGGTTGATTACATAGGGTAGATTTTTAATATACTGGTATCATTTTGAAGCTTAGGTATTAAACTTTCATAAAATAATGTTTTACTTACATTAGTCAAGCCATTTAAAAAAAATACACTTGTACATTTTGATGGGGTGAGTCGATTCATTTGCTCGCATGTTCTAATATTCGGATATACCTTATCTTCTTTTTATATACGTGAAAGCATAACTATGTTTTAATTTAAACTCGCAAGCTGAACAGTTACAGGAAACACTATTAGAGTGACACATTTAATATATACCATATTTACCATAGTTGCCATAATTGACAGGCAAGCCGCCTATTATAAAAGTTAGTTAAACAGTAATTCTTCTTAACAATCTCTTTCAATTCAAAATAATGTTATATTTATCCAATTATGAATATTTGTTTAAAAAATATTTTCTCATAATTTTATTGTTTTTACATTTGCAGTTATTTTGAATACTTATTTGCGGTTTTCTTTTTTTGCTATCTTAAATATAAGTTTTGACTTGAATTAAACAAACCTTAGCTGCAATACAGAGGTACTTGAAGAAACGCTGATGCGCAGACCAGAACTGCCCCCACATGGTTTTCTTCATGCGCGACTCTGCGTCGATCAACTCAGCCGCCTCCGTGAATCGCTGCATTGCTTCTACCCACTAAAAACAATATTTTTATTATCTCACTAGCATTATTAATATAATCAAAAAGATTGGTTTGCAAGACTGATAGACGGGGGGTTCTAACCCCCATACATAGCATTATATTTGTATGGCCAACAAATAATTGTTCCAACACTGGGTATTCCTTGAGCAATTTTTGCATGTAAACTGCCTTAATAATACAGGAGAAACTTCTATGGGGGTAATTTTGTTTGAGAAAAGGAAATTATAATACTTTTTAACAAATGCTATAAACCACAAATTTAGCTATTGAGAGGCTATACTTGTATTATTTTGATACTGTGTTATGTTGCAAAGTAAATTCTAAGCGGACTCACCAAAGCGACAGCCTTATCGTAGGTCTCTTTGAAGGCGTCGGAGAGCGGCACTTCTTCGATCTTGAAGCTGACGCCGTGGAAGGAGAGCTGGCGCGCGATGTACATGCCCCGTAGTTTCATGTCCATAGCCACTATCTCCATAGCACCTACTCCTCTGTTGGCAAATATCATATTGATCTTTATTATTACTTTTTCTATTATTCATCTACTTCTTCAACATCAGAACGTCGAAGTCCACTACTGGACATAGGCATCTCCCGTTGTAAGGATTTGCCATAAATGCCACATGGCAGCAAGATTGACGATCGCAGTAATCAAACTTTTATAAAATATTTTTATAAGTAATTGACACGCTATTACAATCCGGGAACGCACTGAGTCAGTTAATAACAATGTCGGGAAAATTTTGTAAGCCTGTGTAATAGAAAATGAACCAGCAATAGGACGCAGTCCACAGTCTATGAGGTCAGACTGTGTGTGACGATTATGGTGAAACCTGTGGTCACATTAAGTCAAGCACATTTTACAGCTATATTATGGTTATAGCATGAATGGTTGATGGTGGAAATCAGGCGCAAAAACTCGATACGCGACCGAAAACCATGTCACAGGAAATATACAGGGTTATTTTGCAACGTTTGCCCAAATTTGCAAGAAAGTTCAGAATGTACGTGGTAGAGCCAAGCTGCAGCTATAATAGTTGTAGCACGAATGGGTCGGGTCGACCAGGGTAGGACTACGCTCTCACAGAATACCAGCGTAAATAGCGTTTATGGTGAGTGTTGAGAACCGGAGACTCATTTTACCATACCATCTTAATCCTCAGGGTTACAACACATCTGCATTTTTTTCTTATTTGAAGATAAATGTAAATATTTGTCATGGTATAGTGCGGTATAGTGGGCAGACACCTTAAAGCTTTGATACGTGGTAGAGCCATGATGCAACTGTATTAGTAGTATAGTTGTAGCACGAATGGGTCGGCTCGACCGGGGAAGGACCACGCTCTCATAGAATACCAGCGTAAAATGGCAGCTTAACACTGCTGTGTTTCGTATGGTGAGTGTAGAGAACCGGAGACCCTTTATACTGGAAAAGAGGCATTCCATCTTAGTCCTCACGGGTGACAACGCGTCTGCATTTTGATTCGCAAACGAAGATAGATGTAGATGTCTATGGGCCACAGCAACCACTTACCATCAGGTGGACTGTGTGCCCGTTTGTCACCCTATCCTATAAAAAAAAAGCTAAATTGGTCCACCACAAATTGCCATACAGTACAGTCGTGACTCAGTACGAGATTTTCAGACCATATATTTTGACCGTAAAAAAACTCTATAATAAACAAACCTTTTTTCCACAGCGTTAATAAAGTCCATGAACGTAGGGAAGGGCGTCCCCTCTCCCCATATACCGAGGCGCACCATATACGCCATATTGCGTGGCTCCGAGGCTCCAGTGGCTGAGGCGTAAACGACGCGCGCTTTCGGCAACTTGTTCTGCAGTTCGAGAGCCGTTAGCCCGGTCTTTGTGGCCTTGCCGGAACCCACCGGGCACAGATTCTTCGCTTTGTGACACTCATCAAATACGATCTAATTTATAATTAAGGTCTTATTTTTTAAAGCAATACAAAAGTACGTGAGAGAAAATTTTACAAATTCAACGACATAGATATATAAAGGTGGTTCAATTGAATCCCGGATTCTTTTCACTTCTCACTTGTCAAAATCCATAAATACAAAAAAAATTTAGGTATGTCAATAGTTAAAATTACTAACAATTTCAATAAAAATAAGCCAATATTAAATGTTTTATCCATATTGTTATGCACTTGATATTAACAGTGGTAGGGCCACGCGGAGCTTTTGCTGTCACACGGATGGGCCGGCTCGAACTGGGGTGGTACCACGACCTCACAGAAAACTAGCGTGAAGTAGAGGTTTGCATCTGCGTTTCGCTTGGTGAGTGCAGGTGGCCGGAGGCCCTTTTTACTGGAAATGAGGCATTCCATGTTAGTCCTCACGGGTGACTACGCAACTACATTTTGATTTGTAATAAAGGATAGATGTAGATGTCTATGGGCCGCAGCAACCACTTACCATCAGGTGGACTGTGTGCTCGTTTGTCACCCTTATACTATAAAAAAGAAAAAACTTGAAGTTAGTGCGCAATGCAAAACGAAATGCCATTTTAACAGTGACATATCGTGCGTGCATAGTACCAGCACAGAGTAATGAATAATAAAACATTTTCAAATTCTCCGGCGACTTGACCACAGACTTTTATGTGTTTGACAATTGACAGTATGAACCTAAACAATATTTTTTTTATTTTATTTCATGTATTTGTAATACATAATATATATATAAAAATGTTTAAATTTCTGTATAAAAGTTTAACTAAGCCAAATTTCACACTCCTCCGTGGGCGCAATATGTTTTAAAAGGGGTACAAAATGTTATCTTCATGTATTAATATATTATTGATAATATGATGACGTCGCAAAGGATACGCAGCCGTCGAAGTCCTCGCCGCACCACTGCAACAGCTGCTTGAGGCGCGAGCGGTACTTGGTGCTGGAGGACTGCGTCTCGCCGATCAGCGCAGAGTACGTACAGAACACCACGCCCTTCTTCACGTTGCCGTTCACCGCCGACGAGATCTTCGCGTACTTGAACTAAGCAACAGACACCCGTAAACAAACAAACTATTTCCGGAACTAATACCCGCGACTTCGCTCGGGTGCTATATAAAAAAAATCAAGCAATGTTATATTGTGTTAATAATTGCTATAAGACCCCACTTTATAAGGTATAGCTTAGTATGGAGAGCTCAAGCTTCTATCCAGTTAAAAAAACCTTAGCTATGTTTTTTTCTTAGCAAAGGAAGCAGCTATGATATTTTCATGTAATGTTTTCGCAAACAGAAATCGGACACACAAAAAGTCCAAATTTATTGCAGCAGTTTGAACTCCAACACAATCACAAATTTGATTAATAATTTTGCTTAAATTTCTTATATATGTGTTATTTTAACCTGTCAAACTCTATGAACCTCTATATTTTAGGGTGAAAAACTCAAAATGGACAGACCAAACTATAAGACAAGATCAAGTACCAAATTTAAATTACATTTTCATTTCATTTTCATTTATCTTCACGCACAATCCCTGACGGGGTAGCCAGAGAGAACAGATCGCCAAGTGTCACGATCCTTACATACCTCTTTCGCTTCTTTCAGATTCATTATCTTCTTCATACGAGTACATGCACGTCTAGGTATCCGAGTACTCTTAACCCTCTCCTCTTCGAGCAATTTGCTCACATGATCTTCGAAAGTTAGTCTCGGTCTACCTCGACATTTTTTAATATTTACTTTCGCGCTATATATTTTCTTCACCATTCGGTTTTCACTCATTCGCTCAACGTGCCCAAACCATCGAAGCACGCCCTTATCAATTTTTGTGATAAGGTCATCTTTCAAACATGCCATATTGCTTGTTACAGTAAACTTATAAAAAACGGTGTAATCTACCTAATTATGTTATAATTATGCAAAATTATAAGCACAAAAAAAAGAATTTTACCTTATTGAGCGGGTAAACCTCAATCTTGCCAGCGCCAATATCTCTGAGATCCCGTTCCGCGTCGTACTTGAGATCATTGGACACGGAGACCCAAATAGCACGTTTGCGGCCCTTCAGATAATTCTCAAAGATGATGCCAGCGATCGTTCGACCTTTGCCCACACCAGCTCCATCACCTTGTTAAAATATTTTCTAAAATTAGCCATGAATTCGCGTTGGCAGAAGGTACTAAAGAATATTAATATTGGTTTTGTAGTATGATATCAGTGGGACAAAATCGTCACCTCATTTTGTTTCTTGGCAGTCTTAAGAAAGGCGTCGCGACATTATACCTTTAACAACACCTAAGACAAAAATATGTACAGTCCAGTACAGATAAAGAATGGGATTAGAAATGGCGGCTCAACGACCACTTGGCGTTAACATTCACAGTACCAATAGCAAAAACCCAATAATAACGATATATTGTTATAACGTTATATTATTCGGATAATTGTACATTTTCTATTAATGGGAAAATTTTTTTGAAAAGTATTTTATACGGAAGTAGGTACATTAATTTTAAAATAATATTTATAACTAGGGACATATCTTCGCTTGGGTGGGATATATTAATGTGGCGTTATTTAGTAATTAAAGAGCATTTATTTATTTTATCTAATCAATATTTCTATTTTAATAAAATCTTTAAATTTCCGGATAAAATTTAGTCTAGATCACTCCTGATATTACTCTCTATTTGTTCATGAAGTTTAGTTACAATCGTTGAGCCATTTCGAAGATTAGCTTGGACAGACAACCAAACGAAAATTTCAAAAATTATTACTCATGTCTCAATGGCATGTAAATATTTTATACAAAAATAACAACATACAAAATCAACAATAATTATGAAGAAACCTCTCAGAACGCGTCGCAGCTTACAAATGAGCAAAACAGAACTGGCTTTTTGTAGTTTATGGCATTTAGTTATCATTGATTTTTTGCAGTTTTTACCGGCGGGTGTAAGTATAGACATCGAGCGAGCGAGAGGTGAATAGATGCGTCACCATTTTCAATCTCATTTTTTAACCGCACGGGTAGTATATATCTAAATCATAAGACCACAAGATGATGTTATTCTTTAATTTTATCTATGCCATCGGGTCTTGCAGTTTCAAGTTGCTGACCGCAGGGGTGCCTTATCAATTAGGGAAATAGCCCATGTGTCTTCGGCTTCGGAAGCCAACGCAAGTTTCGCCAACCAGCGTGGCTACTGGAGCTGCAAGTTGTTCAGCAATGAGCTGCAAGTTAGTCATCAATGAAGTTGCTTACCAATAAGGAAGCCGGCTCGCGTGCCGTCGGGCAGCATGTGCTCGTGCGCTTGGGACGCGTACACGACGGCCTCCAGCTGCAGCGCGGACAGCAGCCCCGCGCGGATCGTATCGTCGGGCAGGCTCAGCGAGTACGTCACGTCCACCGGTTCCACGGACGACAGGGACGCCGTCTCCACCACCGGGTCCGGATGCTTGCGGCCCAGCTTCACTGCGGGACAAATCTACACTAAAGTTACAGTCTAAATCTAATAATTCAGTCGTCCAACAGAGACGTCTAGTCAAGACAAACGTAACCAGATGTTCTATAGAAAACTGACACATAGTTGAGAGTGGTTGAATATTGATGCGCCGAGATTGACGCCTATGCGTTATTGTACTTAATTTATCATGTTTATTTTTTAATATTATTATAGTCAATTGTCATATTCTAATAAATAATATGCCGACATCATGTACTGTTATGGTTTTGCTGACAGCAACGTTGGTGGGGCTCGAAAATAATATCAACGATGCTTTCCTGATTACCAGCTTCAGCTACCTATCGATGATTAAATGAAAGCGGCACTATTCACAGAAATCAAGTGGATACTGGCAGACTTGTTTCGACTTCCCTTTTTCGCTTATACTACACCCACGGAATGATATGGGGTAGTGGATAGTCCTACGCCGCCACTAGACTACTCGAAATAGGTGATACGCAGCAGCATCTTCCTAATTACAACTCAAAATAATTAAAAACTGCGGTTGTCAATCGCCCTGCCAAACGTGGCCACGATACCAAAACCCTCCTATGAGGCAATTTATGGGGCAGGCCTATGTTCAGCAGTATATTTTTATAGGCTGTAATAGATGGATGGATGAATAAATATATCGATGCAGGTTAAAAATATCGATACGATATTTAATTGTTGAAATATCTTATTGATATTTTTAACCAGCGACGATATAATATTGTTGCGCGCCACTATTAATGTCTTGTATATAGCAACACTAGTCACCACTAGCGCCCTCTAGTGTCGAGTAGCAGAACTAGGAGAGTCAAGATCCTTCTAGAAATTGCGGGACCGATATGTACTCGAACATTCTAGATGTCGATTCAGTAGAAGGTTCTGGAAACTATCTGAGGCCCTATATAAGGCCGGTATAGACCACGACCGAGTCAGTATTGAATTGGCGATAGAAAAGAATACTTCGAAGCGAAACAACTGCCAACTTAAGTGATCAGTAGTACAATTGTGTTTTATTATTAGTGTGGTTTTAGATTGTAATTAGTGTTGTGTAATTAAAGTGTCAATTTTGATTAAATTACTAATCGGCAGTTTTTAATTGTCTCGAACCCCAAGCTCGTAACAATATCAATATTTTTTTTCACTTGCTCATTAATAGCTGGGCGAACTAATAACATTAATTTCTAAACATATAGGCTAGGTATTAGAACCATCAATTCAGTCTAAATCTCTAGGTCAGAATTAAACAAAATACACACAAATATTTGTAGCTAAATATTCTTTTAACAATTGCTGTATTTGTTTAATGGTACTTAAATTAGTCAGTACAAAGATAAATATTTTGATGTGTTTATTTTTGTACTCGTATCGGTATTTTTGCATAATATGTCTCGTTCGTTCTGTCGGATTGCGCTGTCATGGACGTTGCACATCAATACTGTTACGAGCTTGGGGTTCGAGATAATTGGTATCAGAAGTGGGATCAAATCATGCCGATTTTACCAAAGGACGACATGGAGGGTATCCGTACCCGAAGTCAACGCCAGCTGGAGACGGACCAGAGACGATTTGGTAATGCATCGCCGCAAACGTCGGAGGGCCAGCTGCCGATCACGGAGGCCGGCCCGTCAGCAGCTCCTGCATCTGCAGCACCTGACTTAGGTGCTCTGATGATGATGCTGCAGGAGCCGCCCGCCGACAGGAGGAACAGGCCCGTCGTTTGGAAGAGCAGCTGCAGCGTGGACAGGAGGAACAGGGCCGTCAGTTGGAAGAGTAGCTCAAACGTGATAAGGAAGAGCAGATACTTCTCATGAAGGACCTTCACGCTACCTTTGGGAAAGAGATAAGGGAGGTGATGGATAAGGTTGCTCGATATGACAACCGCCTGTCGGAAGCTGAAACCCGAATCGAACAAGTGTACAATTGTGTTGACAACGTGATGGCTGACGTGATGAAAGCGCTGGACAACCTCAAACTTGGGGGAAGGAGTTACAGCTCCCGTGGTAGCTACAACACCTTCGCTACGTGGATTCAAAGCGCCGCCGTTCGACGGGACTTCTTCATGGTCGGCCTATAAAATCCAATTCGAGGCTGTCATGACGGCGAACGGCTGAAATAAAAGTCAGGCCATGACTGCTCTCACCCTAGGCCTGCGAGGCCAGGCATTAACTGTTCTGGAAGCTCTCGGGCTCTCGGTAAGGAAGTGACTTACGAGCAACTCCTTGAGGCATTGGAGGCGAGATATGGCGACGCTCACCTGGAACACGTCTTTCGTGCGCAGCTCAAAGATCGCGTGCAATGCAGTAACGAAAACCTGCAGCAGTGGACCCTTGAGGTGGAGAAGCTGGTTCGAAAAGCGTACCAGTCTGTACCTGCGCTCATTGTAGGGAACCTAGTGCAGACATTCATCGACATCCGCGTCCGCGACCTTGAAGTCAGAGCTGCTGTGAGGCTCGGACACCACGAGACGCTTAAGGACGCGTTGGCCCATGCACTGGAGGTGGAAGCCGTGCGACAGGATCATCGTTCCTATCGCGTCAGGCAGGTTGCAGCAGCTACAGTTCGAGACCGCAGTAAAGGATACAGACCTAGGTGCTACGGCTGTGGGGAGATGGGCCATCTTCGATTCAGCTGCTCGAAGCGAACTGTAGAAAGGGAAGGTGATCGATGTCGAGAGGGTAGTGCGGCTAACAGCACCGCCCAGCAGCAGCAGGGAAACTGGCGGGTGCTGGCTGATGTTAAAAGAGCCCCAAGGATTTCGATCTCACAAACCCGTGATGGGAACAGCCTGATCATCAAGGGCGAGGAACGCCCTGTAAACTGACCATAGACACTGGAGCCTCTCGCACGGTTGTCAGTTCCCAACTTATAAGTCAGTTCCTTGGGTATTCCGCAAACGCATTAATTTGGTGACAGCCACCGGTCAGCGCATACCCGTCCGTGGAGAGAAGGAGATGGAGTTGAAGTTAGGCAACATGATCTACCTGCATAATGTCATCGTGGCTGATATAATCGACGACTGCATCCTGGGCCTAGACTTTATGAGGAAGAATTGTTGTGAGATCGACGTTAAGCAAGGTGTTTTGAAATGTGGACAAGAGGAACTTTTCATGTAAGGGGCGTTACCAGGGAATGTGTACAGCCTTAAGAAGATTGTTCTTCCGCCGAGATCGGAAACGATTGCGCCGGTTAGTCTTCCTCGGAGTCCTGGGCAAACATCGTTGTGTACTCGTGAAAAGAAGACTTCCATGGAAAGTGGCTCGAACCTTGGTCAGAACCACTGACATCTCAGGAGTACGTGTGTTGAACCTTTGTGATCAGGAACAGATTATAGAAAAAGACACATTGGTTGGTACTAGTGAGAAAGTGGATTGGTTGCGTCGGTGCGAATATCTATCGACTGGGACCCCCAGCAAGGATAGACAAACGAGAGTGACCACACTTTTAGAAGACTGTCGCAGCGTTCTCTCCCCGAATGAAACGGTCAAAGCGAAGAAGTTGTTACTCAAGTACGCCAATGTTTTCTCGTCAAACGAAGCTGACATAGGAAAGACTGGCTTAGTTCAACACAAAATAAACACAGGACAAGAATTGCCTATTCGTCGGCGGCCAAGGATATTGCCTGTAGCACGTGAAAAGGAAGTGGAAACCATGATTGAGGGAATGGTGAAGGATGGTGTTATTGAATCTTCATCTAGTCTAGTGTTCACCTGTGGTGCTGGTAAAGAAGGATGGCAGCATGCGGTTTTGTGTTGACTACCGCCGCCTGAACGACGTTACGAAGAAGGACAGCTATCCCTTGCCAAGAATTGATGACACGCTGGACATGCTTACAGGCGTAAAGTGGTTTAGTACACTGGACTTGAAAAGTGGCTACTGGCAGGTTGAAATTGACCCTAAGGACAAGAAGAAAACTGCATTCTCCACAGGAAAGGGTCTGTGGCAATTTAAAGTCGTCCGTTTGGATTGTGCAATACTCCAGCAACGTTTGAAAGGTTGATGGAGCTTGTACTTATCGAGTTAATTTGAGATGCCTGTCTGGTCTACTTGGATGACATCATCATCGTAGGCCGTACGTTTGAGGAACATCTTCAAAACCTGGAACGCGTGCTCATGAAGATCCAGAGTGCCAACCTCAAGTTAATTCCAAAGAAGTGCTCACTATTCAAACGGCAAGTTAGCTTTTTGGGGTATGTAGTGTCAGAAGAAGGTATCCGCACAGATCCAGAGAAAATTGCCGCTGTCAAGGATTGGCCGGTTCCAAAAGACAAGACACAGGTTAGAGTATTTTTGGGTTTGTGCTCTTATTATCGGCGATTTGTGAAGAACTTTGCAGATATAGCCAAACCTCTGCACAGACTAACCGAGGAGAAGCGAAATTTCTGCTGGGATGAAAGTTGCAATATTGCATTCCAGGAGCTCAAGAACCGTCTGTGCAAAACACCTATTTAGGGTTCCCTGATGCGGGCAAGGAATTAATAAAAAATAGTTGACATAGACGCAAGTGATATAGGACTTGGCGGTGTGTTGTCTCAACGGAATGATGATCAAGAGATTGTGATAGCGTACTTCAGCAAGTCGTTGTCAAAGCCGGAAAGGAACTATTGTGTTCAGGAGGCCACCTGGAAGTTAAACGAACTCTACTGAAGATCCGAGAACGGTTTTACTGCGTACACTGTCGAGGACTGGTGCCGCCAATGTACAAGTTGTGCGGCTGTAAAGGGACCTCAAACTCGTAATAGAGGCGCAATGAAACCGTTCTCGGATCTTCAGTAGAGTTCGTTTAACTCCCAGGAGGCCTCCTGAACAACCACTATGGTACAGCTGTAGAACATCCGGTACTTTAGCCTTAGGGACAACCATTTGCAAATGACATCTGTCTCCCCGACCATTTTCCCATTTACGGCACAGGACTCCATCCTGAATCAGCAAGCTGTCCCATTGGGCCCAATAGCTTTTCGTGCTCGAACTCATTGCTGAGACGTCGCTCCACTTGGGCTTAGGAACACTGGCCTTCATCCATTCCAGAATCGGCTTAATGTCCGAATCTTCCTGCTGTGCATGTTGTAGGCTGTCCTTCCACTCATTGCTGAGCTGGTCCGTCCTGATCATCCTCACAGATACCACTTCCTTACCCTCTTGCCTAGTACAATGCTTGCAATCTTCAGGGCAAGGTCTTCTTGACAATGCATCTGCATTGCCGTGAGATTTCCCGCTGCGATGTTCGATCACAGTCGTATTCCTGCAGTAGTTCAATCCATCTCGCAACTTGTCCTTCCGGATTTTTGAACTGCAATAGCCATTTCAGTGCAGCATGGTTAGTTCGTAAGTGGAATTTCTGCCCCAGAAGATATTTGCTAAAATGCTGCAAGGACTTTACCACAGCAAGCAATTCCCGTCTTGTGACACAATAGTTCTTATCCCACTTTTGACACCAAATTATTACGAGCTTGGGGTTCGAGATAATTAAAAACTGGCGAGTGAATTGCCAAAATTGACTATTTAATTACACAACACAAATTACAACTTAAAATCACACTAATAATAAAACACAGTTCGCCGTTACTTCGCTTCGAAGTATTCTCTTGTATCGCCAATTCAATACTGCCTTGGTCGTGGTCTATACCAGCCTTATATAGGGCCTCAGATAGTTTCCAGAACCTTCTACTGTAGCGACGTCTAGAATGTTCGAGTACATATCGGTCCCGAAGTTTCTAGAAGGATCTTGACTCTCCTAGTTTTGCTACTCGACACTAGAGGGCGCTAGTGTAACTAGTGTTGCCATGCACAAGACATTAACAGTGGCGCGCAACAATACTAATTTTCTAAAAATAAAATTAGTTATTCATCTAACTTATATCAACCTTGTTACGGTACATTGACTGATCACCGTTGAGTTATATGTACTACGTACTAGAGAAGCCATTCCAAACAAAAATCGTGTCCTACTCTATGTCTTCGCGCAAGCGCGGGAGTAGTAGTCGCGCATGCGCGAAGACTTTAATTAAGATATTAATATAAAATAAATATAAGAATTTAATATAAAATATCTTAATTTAATCTAAACAAACATATTTCTAAATAAAATGTAATAATAATTATTTTATGGAATTCACAAATCTTCAATTTACGTAATATTTAGTTTGTACGAATTGCAGTACACTTCAGTTGAACATAGTCAATGTTCGGAATGGCTTCTCTAGTACGTAGTACATATTATAACTCAATGCTGGTCACCTATGTTAGGTGAAATTCTTATATTTCACAAATAATTATTAGAAAGGTGCTTATAACATAGCCACGTACCTTAGGTAAGGAAGGTAATAAAAAATCGACTACTGAAATAAAACGTAATACTGAATTTAAATTGCATAATATATAAAGTCACGTTATAAGTCGTTCTAATATTCCAAATAGTTATCCAAATTTATCAACGTGACAAAGTCACGATGATTTTTCATTGTGACTTTTTGGTAACCGGAACGACGGTCACAGTAATTTAAAAATAACACTTTTCTCTAAGTCTTGTCGCCTCTTACGAGACCCACGAGATGATATGGATATTCATACACCGCCACTACACGGTAATTGATAACTTCTCAAAACATTTTATTTATGGACAACGTATTGCAATCGTCGTTTCTCTAGCTCTCACTTGACCTTCATACAAATGATGCGATATTTTAACTAAGTTGGTGGTGGTTAATGTCGACGCCTGAGTGATTATAATGGTGCAAACGACAAGTGCTGTGGGAGACTGCAAGTCGTCATCTCGCATATGGAACTAAGATTCATCTATAGCTGCACACTGAAGAAGTATAAACTTCATTGTTTGTAAGACACTAGCTGTCCTCCGCGACTTCGCCCGCGTGGAATTTACTACGATTTCATGGATTTTATTTTTTTTGCGCAGAATCTTAATCATTTTTCTAAAATAAAAGTATCCTAAGTTACTCATTCTAACATCAGGTCCAGCCATTTCGGAGATTAGCCGGAACAAACAGACAGCCAAACAAAAATTAAAAAAAAAAATTGTTATTAGTACCGTATACACTTTCATATGCATTTTGTAAAAAGATGTCATTTTAACATTACAAACATACACTTCTATTTTATTTATTTGTATAGATTATAATCACAAATTAACAGAATCAACCAAGGAAATAAAACCATATAAAGATACATTCAAACCTGCAAATAATTTTATCCACCCATTCATTACAGTCCATCAATAATCCAGCGCTGAAAATAGGCCCATATCTACCTACAGATAAAGGCGAAATTTGTTTGGCGGGCGGATTGGCTACCTTATTTACTTAATATTACTGAGTTGTTATCAGAGAGACATCGCTGTCCATCTCCGGTTTTAGTTTCTCTCTGTCTCTTCTTGCAACACCCACGGTATGATATGAGGTGTAGTGGGTTCTCCTCCACCACTAGCTCACGACATATAATACATACATAATAATTATACATAAACTCTCAAGCCTGTCACCTAGAGGCGCAAACGGGAGACAACAAACGTCCATTTGGCACGATCCTGATACACCTCTCTCGCTTCCTCCACATCCATACACCTACGCATACACGCTCGTCGGTTAAAGGTACTCTTGATTTAGCCCATTTTCAATATATCACCGATTTGGTCGATAAACTTTCGAGATAAACTTTTAAGATAATAATTTTCGATCATTGTCAACTTACACTTTGTAGGCATATAATCCGCGTATGTCTCTGCGACGCCCATCTCTTCATCGTCTACTTCCTCTTCATCGCCTGGCATCTAAAATATTTTAATAAGAATACGTTTATTTCGTTTAAAAATAAAAGGGAAAACTACGTCAAAATGTATACTACGAGTTCTATACCCATATAAGTCACATCGCGTCGACAGTATATGCAATGTAGTTATAGCACAAATGGTTCGGCTCGACCGGGGAAGGACCACGCGCTCACAGACTACCGGCGTAAAATAGCAGCTTAACACTGCTATGTTTCGTATGGCAAGTGTAAAGAACGGGAGACCCTTTTTACTGGAATAAAGGCATTCCATGTTAGTCCTCACGGGTGACAACGCATCTGCATTTTGATTCTTTATTGAGGATAGATGTAGATGTCTATGGGTCACAGTAACCACTTACCATCAGGTGGACTGTGTGCCCGTTTGTCACTCTATCCTATAAAAAAATAGTATTACAACTTGGTTTGGGGTTATTACTATTATTTAGTTAATAAAAAACTCCGAATTAAGTTTAGCTAATAAAATATAATAAAGCTTATAAAGTATCAATTACTTCTTTTTTAAACTAATTGTAGGTGTAGATATTTTTATTAACTTACAGAAACTAAATAAATCTACTTTAACTTCGATGTACGACGAAGATTTTATATTAATATTTTTTTTAGTATACAAAGAATATTTTTGCCTGTAGTGTTAAAAAAGAAAATAACAATAGAAAAGACGTGTTAGTTAAATACAATATAATTCAACTGTTATGCAATGCAACTAATTATGCACTAAAAGTCAACGTTGTTCTATACCTTGTCTTGCGGCCACATGCCGGGCTTAGGCTGTGCCCAGGGCGGCATCTGTCCGTACTGGCCCAGCATGCTGCCCATCCCGGACACGAGAATCTGGTTTAAGTTCTGCAGGAGGTACGGGTTCACGCCCTGAACTCCCACCAACTCCACTGTCGAATCATTATTTTAACGTCAATTTAGTTTTGCATTTATCAATTTTAAAATAGAAAAGGGATAATTATGCAGAAATCAGACACCTTTAGAGTAAAATGTTTAACCATCACTGTAACCAACATTTTAACAAATAAGACCTTGAAGCTATTAAGTGAAGAAAGCACTAGAAAATTTATATAAAACCAAAACAAAAAGACAATCAAAAAACAATCAAAGTATGAAAACGTTACAAACATGTAAAGACTTTTACATTACTAAGAACTGATTTTTTAATCATTAAACAAGTAGGATGCAGGAAGTAAAGACTGTGTAAGAACCTCCGAAGGATGCGTAGTTATAGCCGAAATAACAATTTTTAATTTTTTGGTTTTTGGCCATTTGACCCCCTAGGAGTGTAATGAGAACTTTTTGCCCCTATTCAACCATGACCCCCATGACATCCTCTACATAATAGGCTATTCAAACTGACTATCAGTAAAGTTCGATTCACCCCACAGTTTTTTGGTTTTTGGCCACTTTGACCCCCTAAAAGTGTAATGAGAACTTTTTGCCCCTATTCAACTATGTCCCCCATGACATCCTCTATATGATAGGCTATTCAAACTGACTAGGCCTAAAAATCGAGTCACCCCCCAACTCATTTCCAGTCTTTACTTCCGAAAAAGATCCATTGAACTATTTTAATCATCCAACTGTAATTTTTAATTTATTTTTATTTATTTATTTATTCTTTTTTACATCTACCTTATAATAAGGGATACAAAGGGCGGACTTAATGCCTTGTGGCATTCTCTACCAGTCAACCCTGGTTGACTTGAGAAGCTGTGGTAGGTGCAACACCACTCATAAATTAATAAATAAGTAAAAACATTATATCTTATAACAAAAAGCAAATAAATAAAATATTTTTAAACTATACAAACTTAATATTATCTACTTTGTAATAAACAGAAAAAAAAATAATAGTAAATATATAAACAGATAAAATATACTTATATATACAAAATATAAACGGATATAATATACTTATGTATGAAAACAAAATATATAAACAGATATAATATACATATATATACAAAATCTCTAAATAAATATAAAATAATATAACACAAAAATAAAATAACGTGATGCATATTAAAATACATATTATACAAAATATCAATTACAAAGCGAAAGAGTGAGAAAAACAAAAATCGGATAAAACAGGTGGTATTATTCCTGTTAAAGAATTCTCGAACAAGTCTTTTAAAATATTGTTTATTACTGGTTTTTTTTATATGAACAGGCAAGGCATTCCAGAGCAGTATACACAGTAAAAGAGGAATTAAAGAAACCACTCTTATGTGGTGGAATACGAATTTTAAGGCTATTTTGGGAACGGGGAACTCTATCATGAGTAGAATATTGGTACTGAAAGTTATCCTTAAGATAAGAAGGAGAATTTGGGCCATTTAAAATTGAATATAGTACTTGTAAAATTCGGGAGCTACGCGTTTGACGAATAGAAAGCCATTTAAGCTTAGAACGGTACTGAGAAACATGGTCATACATACGTAAGCCGAAAATGAACCTAATGCAATTGTTGAGAAGGCGCTCCAACTTATCGAGAAGATATTGAGATAGATCTGGGTAACACACATCCGCATAATCAATAATGGGTAATATCAAAGTCTGGACAAGTAGAAGTTTAGTTTTAAAAGGCAGAAAGTTTTTGAGACGTCAAAGAGATCGTAAGGTGGCAGTAACTTTACGGCTTATTTCAGCAACTTGAACTCCCCAGTTTAAGGTATGGTCTATATGTAAGCCAAGATTTTTAACAGATTTACAAAATGGCAGCAATGTTCCATTGTAAAATACGGGAGAAAGATCATTGTTATTCATCTTGGCTAGGCTAATATTCTGCTAGTACCTACAACCATTACCTTACATTTGGAAGGGTTAACCGAAACATCATGTCTGTACGACCAATCTCTTATGGCATCAAGGTTGTGGTTGATTTTGTGAATATTATTATGGTTAAGGTCATTAACACTAGATTGCACATAGAGCTGAAGATCATCTGCATACAGATGGTACGAACAGTTGAGAACTGAAGTAATAGAATTTATAAATAGAGAAAACATTATAGGAGAAAGTATTCCGCCTTGCGGCACGCCTGTTTCAATGTCAGCCCATGTTGAAGACTGTTGTCCTAATCGAACTGATTGCTGGCGGCCGCGAAGATAGTATGAAACCCATTCCAAAGCTGGGATTGAGAATCTAAGATTAGCTAGGAAGGCTATAAGGATATCGTGGTCGACTGTGTTAAAAGCATTTGAAAAATCAACAAGTACTACCACTGTAAGCTTCTGCTCATCCATTCCCATTCGAATGTCATCTGTGACTTTTATCAAGGCAGTGGTAGTACTGTGACCTGCGCGAAAGCCTGATTGATATTTATTCAGCAGGTTATATTTGGTTATGAACATAGAGATTTGCTTGTGAACACAGGCTTCCAGAACTTTAGATAGGTACGGCAAAATTGAAATTGGTCTAAAATGGGTAGGTAATAAGGGATTAGGTATTTTAGGAAGTGGTCGCACAAATGCTTTTTTCCACTGAGTAGGATATTGGCCTGAGTCAAGGGAAAAGTTTACGATATGTGTGATTGCAGGCAAAAGGCACTCAAGGATCAATGGTATCATAACCTTACTAACCTCATCGCAACCCACAGCCTTGGATTTAATAGCTAATACTGATTTCTGTGTCTCATCTTCAGTCACAGGTAAAAAGTGAAAAAAAGGAATAGGAGGAGAAGGCATGGATTGAATGGAAGCTATTGTTGTAGAACGAACTGTGGGATCCAAAGGAGAAGTAGAGATAAAATGATGATTTATTTCATCCAGAGTGATTGATGGACCATGATCAGATGTAACAGCCTTACTAATACCAAGTGTTTTAAGAAATTTCCACACATCGGCGGTCGAAGAATTTGTAATATTGCTATGGATATAATATTTAGGTTGTCTTTTATCCTGTAAATAAATTTTATCTAAGGATTAAAAATCTTCCCATATGGTTAGTAGTCATTGTTTTTTTTTTAGATACATTGGTTTAGCACGCAATAATGTTGTATTACTTATCTAACTAAATGTTCTTTTTAGTTTTGACACTTAACTTTCGGAAATTAGCCGGAACAAACAGACAGACAAAAACTTTAAAAATTGTATTTTTGTTATTAGTACCGTTATTTTTTTCATATGCATTTAGTAAAATGATGTAATTTTGACATTACAAACAGACACTTCAATTTTATTTATTTGTATACATAGGCTGCACTAAAAGTATCGGGAATGGAATATTTCCACTGTTCCTGTCATATTAAAATCTTTTTAATTGAAAACTCCTTGGTTTTAAAAATCGAATACCATTTATTTATTTTAAAAAAAAGATTCTCGGTCTTATCACAAGGTTTTGTCAAACTTGTTTTTTTTCAAAGTCGTTGAGAAAATGGAATTGACTCGAGAAAATTCAAGAGCGATGATTTATTATGACTTTCGAAGTGGGTTAACACAAAAACAGTGTGTTGACCAGATGATTTCTGCATTTGGTGATGAAGCCCCATCCAAAATCACAATTTATCGCTGGTTTGCTGAATTTCAACGTGGACGTATCAAGCTCAGTGATGATCCCCGTCAAGGTCGTCCAAAAACTGCAGTCACCCAAGAAAACGTTGATGCTGTTCGTAAGCTGATTGAGGAAGATCGACATGTGACATACCGCGAAATTCAGGCAACTTTAGACATTGGCATGAGTCAAATACAAATAATCTTGCATGAACAATTAGGTGTAAAAAAGTTGTTTTCCCGATGGATACCGCATCCGCTCTGTGAAGAGCAAAAAGCGGCTCGCGTTACTTGGTGCGTCAGAACTCTCGAAAGATTCCACGCAACCCGAAACAAAAAACCAGTCACGAGTTTGAGTGTTCGAAAATGAGTTAAAGCCAACAAAAATTGTTCGTTCACGCAGTGTTGCAAAAAAATGGTGGCCACGTTTGTCTCCAAAACCGGCCATGTTACGACTATTCCTCTCGAGGGACAAAGAACGGTTAATGCAGAATGGTATGCTAGCATTTGTTTGCCACAGGTTGTACACAGAACAAAAGAGTTTTTAGAGCAAGAAAACATAGAATTATTAGACCATCCGCCGTACAGCTCCGACCTAAGCCCTAATGATTTCTATACTTTCCCTAAAATAAAGAATAAATTGCGTGGACAGAGACCTTTTTCATCACCTGAAGAAGCTGTGGACGCCTACAAAACGGCCATTTTGGAGACCCCAACTTCCGAATGGAATGGTTGCTTCAATGATTGGTTCCATCGTATGGAAAAATGTGTCAAATTTCGCGGAGAATACTTCGAAAAGCAATAAATACATTTTTAAATAGTAATGTTGTGTCATTTCCTTGATTCCCGAAATTTTCAGTGCCACCCTCGTAGATGTGGTGAAGAAAAACTTCGCGAGGAACCCGTTTTGTGTATTTATGTTATATAAACAATATTTATATAAAACTGCTCAAGGAAATTCGTCTATATTTAATAAATATAGACATTTATCAAAAGAAATTTTTCTTTCAAATTTCGCTAACTTTACATGGCTGCTATTGTGGAAAGCTTGCAATTTTAAATTCTTTAAGGACAATAGCTGTTCACGTTTTGCGCGTATAAGGCTTCAGTCACGTTGAAGGAAAATAATTAAATTTTTGTTAATTCTTCGTTACAATGCTTGTTTTACGAATACATTAAAAATCCAGCTTTTAGTTATTAAGACTGGTGGTTTAGTAGTTAACATACTATCCGTCTAGTAACTCAAGTCTTCTAGGCGCAAATCCTAAATGTTTGGAAAACCTGGCAAATAATTTTACTACAAATATTGCAAGCAAACATTAGTGAAGTCAATGAATAATTTTTCGATCTCATAATGTAACATAATATTCCATTGAAAAATTATTGCTGGT